AATGGAAGGAAAGAGTACCATCATGAAGGCCAAGGAACTCACTGAAAAATATGGAAACAGTTTTAAAATTAGAAAATGTACAGAGAGATAGTGAAGATCTGAAGCAAATGGGCTGAGACAGGAAACTGAACCCAGGAAAGATATACAAACAATATGACTTTAAAGAGGCAAAGCTCAGCTTCAATCACAGAGGCTGTGAAGAGATGCTTATTGTAACTTTGGAAGAGTTCTAGAGATTAACATGTCAGGTTTGAGAATCTATTAAGGAATACTGAGTTGAAGAAATGGCAACAAGAGAGCCATGGTTTAAACAAAGCCATGAGAGGTTCTGTTTGAAATGTAAAGAGAGTGCTCTGTTTTGATGAAACCAACATTGACTATCATTGCCTGCATGCAGAACACTTTGCAATCTAAAAAAAGAACCACTGCTTATCAGACTGACCTCAATATGACATTTGTAGGTGAAGCCTTTAAGCAGAACAACTCTAAACATGCGGCCAGAGCTACGATGGAATCATTAGATCAACAGTGTCATATATTTGTGTTAGACGGGCCAAAATTGTCACTCAACGCTGACAAAACTTTTCATTTTTAAATACAAATCCAAAAGCTTTTTTATTGGGATTTTTCTCTTTCTTTTAGATAATTTCTTTTTCTTTTAGATAAAAATCCGAATATACAATATTAAAGGAAAGAAAAAACAATATTCGGATTCTGTAGAAACAGATCTAATACTACCAAAGCTGCTCTTTGCAGCAACAACCCAGTACAAGTTTGTTTGTTTTTTTGTTGTTGTTTTTTTTAGAAATACTCACAAATTATTAGCTGTGCGGGTCAGTTAGATTTGCACCATTATTAAATTGCATTGCACAACATCATTCCAAGGACTATAAATGGCTCCCAGTGCTCACTTTGAGCTCCCCTAGTTTAGCACAAAGGCCCAAATCTAAATGATAATCCATGGTAAATTTGCAGACACTCACTTTCTAGTCTGACTGAACTATATGTGCAAAGCTGGTAGATAAACACCCCAATAAATGCAGGCAGGTTTGCAAAATATTAAGAAGTGTGAAAATGAAGTATGATTTTCCTTAAAATTCAATGCGTGACACAACTTTAGTTACAAAGATCACATTATCTTTCACATGTGAATAAATAAGAGTCATGCTGTCTTAATAAAACATCTAAAACCTTCTTCCATGTTTGTTTTACTCCCTTATCAGTACGGCTTTACTTTGTTGAGGCGTAGAGCCCTCCAGCTAGAAGAGCTGACTCTGGGGAAGGACTCTGCAGACTGTGCCAAGACACTCAATGAACTGGGAGTCCTTTACTACCTCCAAAACAACCTGGAGTAAGACACAGTTCACCTTAAATACTCTATTAAACTACCCAGTATGAGGATCTAACCTTATAGATGGAGCAGTTCCATTTACCCTCATATTTATAGTTCACCTAAATGTTTAAAATCTTTCTTCATTTTTCCTCTCATCAGTGCAGCCAAAGTGTTCCTGACCCGTTCCCTGGAGATGCGCCAACGTGTCCTCGGTCCAGATCACCCAGACTGCGCTCAGTCTCTCAACAACCTGGCTGCGCTCAACACAGAAAGGAGGGAGTACGAAACGGCAGAGGACATGTATGAGAGGGCACTGGAGATCCGCAGGAACGCGCTGTCCTCAGACCACCCTTCTCTGGCGTACACTGTCAAACACCTGGCCATGCTCTATAAGCGCAGAGTGAGACATCAGTCAGATTAAATGTTGAAACTTGTGACATCAAGTGTTTTAGGGGGGTATTTCATTTTTATGTTAATGTCTCCCATGAAGGGTAAGCTGGAGAAGGCCGTTCCACTTTATGAGCTTTCTCTAGAAATCAGAGAAAAGAGTTTTGGCCCCAAACACCCAAGTGTGGCTACAGCACTGGTGAACCTCGCTGTCCTCTTCTGCCAACTGGTGAGACTCATCCACAAACCCTTCATGCATCGCTAAAAGTATTCACGCCACTGGAACTCTTTCATATTTTACCAAATTAAAAACACACTTCTCAATGTGATAGACCAACATACACAGTGCATTTATTTGAAGTGTTAGGATGTAGATCCATTGATTTAATGCATTGTGACTCAGGAAAAAATAGGCCATACATTTGGATTTTTTTTGCCAATTTATGACACATTTGCACTGCAGGTCTTTTGAAAGGACATTTCAACAAGCTTTACACATAAATATTTGCCTATCCTCCTTTGCAGAATAGCTCAAGCTCATTTGGACCGGCCCAAGCAGTCTGTAAACAGCTATTACTCAAATCTTGCAGATGATCATTTGGATTTATCAGTTTCACCACACGAACATTCTTTGATCTAAATACAAAATGGGAAAAGTTATTTTCACAAAGGGTCAAGTTGGTTTTGATAGGTTTTCTATTTTTAATGAATAAACATTTGAATTTTTGCAGTTTTTTTTTCTGGTTTTCCACTGTCAGTGTATATATTTTCTTTTGGGTTTTATGGCCAAAAGCTAATTGAGACTTTTATTTTTATAGAAAAAACACAGTGAGGCCTTGCCACTTTATGAAAGAGCACTGAAAGTCTACGAAGATAGTTTGGGCCGCTCACATCCACGGGTCGGAGAAACCCTGAAAAACCTGGCTGTGCTAAGGTAAGAATATTTATCATCCTCTTAACACCGTAAAAAACGCCTCACATTGCTTCGATTATTTTGCTTTCATGCTGTCATTTAATCCAGTTATGAGGAAGGTGACTTTGAGAGGGCGGCGGAGCTGTATAAGTGTGCGATGGAGATTAAAGAAGCAGAGCCGTCGTTGGTATGTGGCAACGCGCCGTCTCACCATTCTTCCAGCGGAGACACGTTCAGTCTCAAGACACCTGCTCCTCTACCACATGCTGCAAGGTGACTGTTTTCACTGGGAATCACACCAGGAAATTTCTCCATAGAACAGATGAAACTTCCAACCTTCATCACGGAGGGTTAGATGTAATGAATGTAAAGACACAATCAGATGGGAATGCTCTGTGGAGGAGAAACCAACTTATATTCAAAGTGTTCCATTGAAGGGTTTCCTCCACTCATGAACTTTTGATTAACTTGGGATAAAGTTACAGACACTTTATTTTTTGTGTACATTTATTCAAAGCGTGAAAAACTACAAAAAGGCAACAGTGCTCAGTTTTCAAGGAGACACTAAAGATACGTTTCCTTTGTGCTCCTTACAGATACAGACCTCCGACCTCGGATTTCATTTAGCACCTTCTAGTCTTTTTATCTGGGTAAATTTCTCCAAAGACTTTATATCACAACAGTGTTATAAAAAAGAAAATTCTCATTGCTGAGTGGATTTGTTTTACATCTCTAGAGATGATCTCTCAAGTTCTCCAAATCTTTTAAAATAGTTTTTTGTGAAGTTTTAAATAACAACTGACCTCTGCATTATTTTTTTGCATAAAAGAAACTGAAAATGTGCCAATAAACACTTAAGCATGTAAGCTTTTGATGCACTTTTAGTTATGTTATGATAGTAAAGAGTAAACAACACTAATGACCTCAGAAAACAAGAGTTTCTGGAGTAAATTTCACTTCCCCACTGAAACCAAGAGGACCATTTTAAAGTTTACATAACGCTAAGCCTTCATTTTTGTATAAACTAAAGTACATTTTTAGAGAGAAGAATGTTTATTGTAATTTATGTATGTTATTTACCTAATCTTGCTTGAGTACATTTAAAATGGAACATGAAAAGGACAAAGTTTTAAACAAATCTCTAGTGAGTTTATATTTTTTCCCCTAATAATGGTGTCACCTTTTGTACCAAATAAACACACAAACTGGTAGATTTAATGAAAACTTAGAAAAGATTAGATTCCTAACAAAAACATGTGTTCCACTTGAATGTCTCAACTGTAACTGTATAATTTACGGTAATAGTTTTTATTGTATCAAAATTATACAATGTTTTCTTTTTATACATTCATGTGAAGTTGGTTTCAATGTCTACATATCCCTGTTTTAAATGCCAGGTTTGAAGTAAGAAGAGTAAAATTATCATTTTATCAATTTTCTTACCTTTAATTTGACTTCACTTCTCTTTTGATCAACCATCTTTCTATCTTTAAATTTCCTTAAATAATTGCAATGACCATTAGTCCATGCAGACATAGAGAATAAAAGGTTTAACACAGACAGAAATATTTAAGATGGTAATCCTAAAAGGACAGTTGGAACTTCCTTTAGTTTAACTACATTTACCTTTTATTGATTGTACAAGATGACTGAAGGCTGAACGTGAAACAGAAATTAGTGTTACTTCTCCATATAACTATAGAGAATTAGTTTTATTAAAGCTACAGTGTGTAATAATTACAGGGATATACAGTCAGAAATGTAATATATTATACATAACTGTTATTTTATCATCATCTACGAGCTCAGCCTCTTAACCTTAATATTTGCGTTGCCTTAGAATTCGTTATTTATAATTACATAGGAGCGGGTCTCGCAGCCATGGAGGCAGACATCTTTGCGCTACGGCAGCGCAGAGCCAACAAACTAGCGATTGCGAGATCGCCAAAATGTCACAACGATGTAGAAAAAATAACTGGTATATTTATTATCTTAAGTCTACATCAAATCTATACCCTACACAGACTAATAAAATACTATCTGTAAAATTATCTATGTAAACAAACCTCATCACTTGAGAAGGTAGGTGATGCGGACATCGTGGAAGACATTTTGTCCCGTTAAGCTCGCCGTACTGTTGGGGGGGAGAAGCGGTGGGGGGGAGACGTTCATGTTGCTGCAGTCTGACCGCTAGATGTCGCTAAAAGTTACACACTGTAGCTTTAAATGTGGAAAAAGTACAAAAAATATATACATCAGATTAATCTGATATTTCAACCTTGGTGTGTACAACTTTTTATATCCACTGTGTTCATGTTGTAAATCTGCCCTGGAGAATAAATCATGCAACATTTTAAGAAGATCATATAGAATCTAATAAATATTTTTATTGAGACAGTGTTCAGAAATGTTATGGCGGAAGGTCACATGGCAGAGAAATGGAAACAGTCAAAATAAAACTTAATAAACAGATTAAGGAATATTTTTTTACAAACAATTTTGTACTTTAAGATATTTCGTGAGAATTTGATGTCATTCCAGTTATTAATTTGTGTCTGCAGCCAGTTTCATGCATGATCTGTTTAGTTCTTTAGTTTATTCTAGAGTTCTGTTTGGTGGGGAATGTAAAATAAAAATATGAATACAAAGACGAAAAAATGTCCTGCAGAAAAGCATCTTCGGTTCGTTGTCTACAACTTTCTCATTTGAGCCATTAAATCCTCCAAGCTCACTTCACTCTCCTCCACCGTCTCTCCGCTGCCCGTTTCCTGGTAAAGAAACAGGGTATAATTGTCAAGATGGAAACATGCAGCAACTGTTTATTGTTCAAACCATTAAAGAAGTTAACCCAACAAACTAGTTCCTTTAAATCTGTGGCTAATTGAAGGAAACTAACCTCAGCTGGGATGGTGTATGCCACAGTGATGCCCTCTGGCAGGTCAGGCACAGCCCCCGTTGCCGCCTGTAACTCGGCATCCGTCACTTCAGAAACCAGTTCAATACCTGCGGAGTAGTGTTTATATTTGTTATTAGAGAAGAAGAAATCAAGGAAGTAAAGTCGATGCAACAAATAGAACCTCCGCTCACCCCATTCATTGTCTTCATGCACGATCTCTCCCTCCTCCTCCTGCACCACTTCCACCTTGGGCCGCTCTGCTTCTTTCTTCTGAACACAAAATACCACACAGATCAAAACTAGGTTTCCCCAACTGATGCAGCAACTACAAAATGCATTCATTCTCCTGCCATTTTCCACCTTTTGTTAGCTTACAACCTAAGCTATTAATCAACTGAAATGATAATCAAATTCCAGTTCACACTTACATTCTATTTTGTTTTCTGCTATTGCATAAAAATTCCCCCCAAAACAGAGGAAAAACTGCTAACCTTATACTCCTGCTGTTGCCGCCGACAGTGGCGGTCATTACACTGAGGGTTGGCCTTCATGGCCATCATGGGGAAAAAGTCCTGCATGGCGTTGTATCCGAGATAATAGCTGACCGTCCCAAATTTCAACAGATACCTGAAGAACAAAACCCGTGAATCTCCTAAAATCTTGAGAGTTTAAGTACATAAATCTAACTTTGTCATGGCTTCATTCACGCCAGCCAGAGGGGTTGACGACGACGACGTACTTGAGGACGTTTTGCACCAGAAGGCCTGCAACCACACCCATTGTAGTTGGCAGGCTGGCAGCACACACTCCCTCCCTCTTTAGGGTTTTCTCATCGATGTTGGCAGCTACCACCAGAGGAGGGGCGCACTAAGGAACAGACAGAATACAGTCTGTACATAGGGTTGGTAAAAAGAACGATATCAGGGAGGGAAAAAAAAAAGTTTGTCAACGTACGGCAAAGCAGGCCGTCTCCCCAGGAATAATGAGCTGGATGTGTCCCGATACGGCGTTTTCACTCACACCAGATTCCATCCAGATCTGGCCCAGTTCGTTACAGGCCTGCAACATCAAAAACTGAAATATTACAACCTAGAGAGAGCAGCCTGATGGGCTGCTTTCTGCTCACAGTGAGGCACTGACTGTATTAATGGCCATTCTGGCTTCAAAGTTATCCACACAGCTCAGAATCAAATCCACTGGTTTTCCTTCTTCCAACCCTCCATGGCTGAAAAAACAAACAAACAGCAGAATTATGTTAACAAAAATGTCTTCATAGACACAAAGCTGGGAAGCTGGGATGCCAACCTGATGCGATCCATGAAATGTGTGAAATTGGCCAGTGTTGTAATGTTGTAGTTATGAGTCTCAAAAGCCACGTCTGGATTGATGTTTCTGTTTGGAAAACAATGAAACAAATAAAGATAAATAGAACGGGGGTTAGGATCTTTATGGTGTTCTTCTGCTGACAACAACTTCTGCTGTTACCTGAGGGTGTGTTCTGCTGCTTCCACCTTACTGAGGCCTGCCTGGTGAGGCTGGAAGAACAGTCTGTTCATGTTGGCTAGCTCTACTTTATCGTAATCAAACAGCAGCAGCTGTAAAACCGAAGGAGGGGAGAACTGGTGAGACTGTACAAGGACACCGAACACATGGGAGGAAAATGGGAAAGAATTTGTCACAAAAAAAAGGTAAAAACAAGGAGGTTTCTATTACCTTACCGATGCCGCATCTAGTGAGCATTTCAGCAGTCACGCTGCCGACGCCTCCAACACCAACTACAGCGACGGAAAATGTCCGGATTTTCTGTCAACAGAATCCAAAATAGTTATTAATCCAAAACTTGTTATATGAGGCTTTGGTAGGATTTCCATTCTTTTTTAAATCCACTACAAACATAACAAGCCCTTAGTACCCGTATGTTCTATAAATAATGAAACAACAGAATAGCACTGCTTTTTTATTTACTGACAAGATGAAGCAAATCCACTGCAAAATCTATAAGTTAGATCTGCCCAATCTGGACTCAGCTGAGCGAAAACACAGCTTGTCAGTTTTATTCAAACAGATAACTACTAAGTACGACAAATAGTTTTCTTTGAGGGAAAAAAATATATATATATTAAGAAAATGTTAAAGGACCATGTAAAAAACACACTAAAAAGTTATTCTGAACCCATCCAAAAAAAAGTAAATATAAAGGATGACAATCGGAAAAGTATAAAAAAAAATTTTTTTTATCCTTTTAGATAATTGAATAACTTTTCTTCTTCCCATTTAAGATCAATCTTTGTTTGTACATGACTGCTCAGTGAAGCTTTATGATTTGTCATAAAACAGTATTAAACAAACACAAGCATAAAGACCAGGTAACACACCAGACATCCCTATGAAGTAGGGCTGGGTAAAAAAATCGATTTAATCAATTTTGAATTGATTCCTGTACATTTTTGCAAAATCAGTGTCTAGGGAATGAGGTTGATTAGTTTTATAGTGACGCACATGACGTTCACATTTTAAATTAAATGAGCAGCCAGACAGCTGCAAATATAGCCAATAGGTTGACTGAAGACATTAACAAATGGGGGCTGACCAGAAAACACCCTGTAGTTGTTACAGACAACGCTGCAAATATGGTTTGTGCAGTGGAGATAATGCAGCTCATGTCTGCTGTGTCCCCGCTGTGTCACGTCTGCACACTCGAGTGAGGCAAGTTTGCACTTATGAGACAGCTTTGTTCACACCTCAAGTTTAAACTGTCTGATTTACAAGTTTGCACCTTGTGTTTAATGTGACAGGAAAAAAATAAAATACATAAACATTTTGAAACACAGTTGAACAACTTTCATTATTGTAAAAATGGATCAAATCGAAATTAATCGATTTAGAACTGTATGAATCAAAATTGAATCGATTCAGGACTTTGAGGAAAGACATCATTCCCTTAGCAAAGCATAGTTGGGGTAGTATCATGCTGTGGGGATACCTTTCTTTAACAGGGACAGAGAAGCTATCTCAGGATAAATGCAACTAAACTATTGAATTAAGATCAAAACATATTGACCTATTTAAAAATGGCCCAGGCAAGTCCAGATCCATACTGATGGAGAATCAGTGCTTCAGACTCTACCAAATCTGAACTATCATTTCAGATGAGTCACAATATGCATGTTAATGCAGGTTTACAGGTGCTGGTCATAAAATTAGAATATCATGAAAAAGTAGATTGATTTCAGTAATTCCATTTAAAAAGTGAAACTTGTATATTATATTCATACATTACATACAAACTCATATATTTCAGATGTTTATTTTTGTTTAATTTTGATGATTACAAATGACAACAAATGAAAATCTCAAATTCATCATATCAGAAAATTAGAATATTGTGAAAAGGTTCAAAATTGATGGCCCCTGGTGCCACACTCTAATCAGCTAATTAACTCAAACCACCTGCAAAAGCCTTTAAATGGTCTTTCAGTCTAGTTCTATAGGCTACACAATCATGGGGAAGACTGCTGACTTGACAGTTGTCCAAAAGACGACCATCGACACCTTGCACAAGGAGGGCAAGACACAAAAGGTCATCGCTAAAGAGGCTGGCTGTTCACAGAGCTCAGTGTCCAAGCACATTAATAGAGAGGCGAAGGGAAGGAAAAGATGTGGTCGAAAAAAGTGTACAAGCAAGAGAGATAACCGCACCCTGGAGAGGATTGTGAAACAAAACCCCTTCAAAAATGTGGGGGAGATTCACAAAGAGTGGACTGCAGCTGGAGTGAGTGCTTCAAGAACCACCACACACAGACGTATGAAAGACATGGGTTTCTGCTGTCACATTCCTTGTGTCAAGCCACTCTTGAACCACAGACAGCGTCAGAAGCGTCTTGCCTGGGCTAAAGAGAAACAGGACTGGACTGCTGGTGAGTGGTCCAAAGTCATGTTCTCTGATGAAAGTAAATTTTGCATTTCCTTTGGAAATCAAGGTCCCAGAGTCTGGAGGAAAAGAAGAGAGGCACTTCATCCACGTTGCTTGAAGTCCAGTGTAAAGTTTCCACAGTCAGTGATGGTTTGGGGTGCCATGTCATCTGCTGGTGTTGGTCCATTGTGTTTTCTGAGGTCCAGGGTCAACGCAGCCACATACCAGGAAGTTTTAGAGCACTTCATGCTTCCTGCAGCTGACCAACTTTTTGGAGATGCAGATTTCATTTTCCAACAGGACTTGGCACCTGCACACAGTGCCAAAGCTACCAGTACCTGGTTGAAGGACCATGGTATCCCTGTTCTTAATTGGCCAGCAAACTCTCCTGACCTTAACCCCATAGAAAATCTATGGGGTATTGTGAAGAAGAAGATGCAATACACCAGACCCAACAATTCAGAAGAGCTAAAAGCCACTATTAGAGCAACCTGGGCTATCATAACACCTGAGCAGTGCCACAGACTGATCGACTCCATGCCACGCCGCATTGCTGCAGTAATACAGGCCAAAGGAGGCCCAACTAAATACTGAGTGCTGTACATGCTCATACTTTTCATGTTCATACTTTTCAGTTGGCCAACATTTCTATAAATCCTTTGTTTTTATTGGTCTTCAGTAATATTCTAATTTTCTGATATGATGAATTTGAGATTTTCATTTGTTGTCATTTGTAATCATCAAAATTAAACAAAATAAACATCTGAAATATATGAGTTTGTATGTAATGTATGAATATAATATACAAGTTTCACTTTTTAAATGGAATTACTGAAATCAATCTACTTTTTCATGATATTCTAATTTTATGACCAGCACCTGTACTTCTCAACATCAGCTCTCCCTCATTGTTCTCAGTTTAAATATCGATAGCAGTAACAAAAGAAAAAAGAAAAAGTTCTTTCAGTAAAAGCCCTACCTCATAATCATCCACGATGCCCATTCTTTTTAAAGCCATAAGGCGGCTGGAAGACAGCAGAGATTGGGATGTGGTTAAGAAATGCAGCACAGCGATAATCAGAGGCGATGAGTCACTAGGCGACACCTCTGGTTTAACAAATAATACTAAACTATAATAAACTAGTAATATAATACCAGAAAAGGTACCTGTATGGGTTGGAATCCACTACCTCGGCGCTCATTTGATCAATCTTGGGTCTATTGTGAGCATCCTCCGCAGCAGACTGCCTCTGCTTACACTTGATCAGTTCATTTTCCAGCTCTCTCACCCTCAGCTTCAGCTCCTCCACCGTCGCCATTGATTCGATTAAATCCCGTTTAAAGATGCCGCTGCAAAGGAAACAAACGAGCCCAAACAGACGGAGAATAAACAAGCTCAAAACAATCAGCATGGGATAGAAAAAGTACACGTCTTCCTTTCTGAAGTCAGCTGTCAGGGTGTGTGCGACCGCAAACTGTGTCCGTGTAGAAACCTAATACGTGGACCTTCTAGCGTTCCTATGTTACTGGGAGTTTTGGATGGTAAGTATCATTTAAATATTTCTTACACAGCTGAGTGTATAAGTTAGAAAAGTACAAGCTATATTTGTAAACTTTAGATCTTACCGTGTTGCCCACGGTAAAAAGTTTATGACCTTGAAGTTTGTGTCAGATTTGGAGCGTCCGCGTCACTAAATCGAGCTCCTATAGCTTTTGTCTAAAATATCCTACTCGGAAATGTATGAAATCATGTACACATTAACGCGTTTATCTTAATTGTTTGATTGTATTCAATTGTAATAATTTGTTTGGATTTCGATCGCTCTGAATACTTCCAATGATTAAAAAAAAACTGTAATCCGTACTTCTAAAATATATATGTTAAAATATTTATTCATATTAATTTATTTTTAATTATTGATTTTAGTCCCATTCAGACCAGTCAAACCAAGGTTGAAATTGTTGGCTTTCCAAATATACAAAAAAAGCAAAACATAGATGTTAATTCCAATTTTATGCAGTTTATTTATATAGCGCCAAGTCACAACCCATGTCATCTCAAGGCACTTTACAGCTAACCAGATCATACAGTCAAATTGATTTAAAGTTTTCTATCTAAGGAAAACCAGTTGATTGCATCTACTCATTGACTCAAATGCAATCCCTCACACTAAGCATGCTTGTAGCGACAGTGGAGCGGAAAAACTTCCATTTAACAGGAAGAAACCTCCAGCAGAACCAGGCTCAGTGTGAGCGGCCATCTGCCGAGACTGACTGGGGTTCAAGGACACAGAAGCAGAGACATAAAAGGCAACTTACAACCAGATCCACAGGCCTCCCCATCCAGGAAACAGACCGGCAGAGGAGGTTCGAGCCAGCTTCCACATCAGAGGATGAAGAGAGCACATCCTACCAGTTGCAATCAGAGAAACAGGACTACACTGAAAAACAGGCCAAGCTTGAAAATCTATAAACAAAGGTGCTGATGGCAGCATCACAGCTGATATTTCTCTCTAAGATGGTGTCACAGGAACAGATGAGCCGAAGCTACTTACAGAAAAAGCAGAGGGCATAGCATTAGAGATTGAACCAACAAATACTGCAGAATGGGAAAATAGAGATAGAATGTAGCAGAATGATGAAGAAGGGGTCCCTTTGTCCCCCAGCAGTCTAAGCCTATAGCAGCATAACTATAGAGATAGAACTGGATAACCTTAATCTAAGCCTACTCTTAAAAATAGACAGGGTGTCTGCCTCACGGACTAAAACTGGTAGTTGGTTTCACAGGAGAGGAGCCTGATAACTAAACGATCTGCCTCCCATTCTACTTTTAGAAATCCAAGGAACCAATGGGAGGAGGATTATTTTAAATTATATTACAATAATTAACTTCTACATAAATTCCAATGCCCACATTATTATTTTACTCGATAACTGTATGTTTAAACATTCAATGTGTGGTAGAGAAAGGTTTGATTTTGTCCAGATTTGACTACTCTACAGGTTTATACCTTTAGTAAAAAAAAAGCTAGTCAAAGGTCCATGTTCCTGTACTGTGAAATAGCCCTTAATACAAGACACTGCGAATAAGAAGCTTACTTCAGTGCAGCGCCACTCCTGCTCAGAGTTTAGCTCTGCGGTGTTGATGATTAACCTGAAATATCTCAATCATGGAAGAGCAAACAACACCGGTGCGAGCACAACACAAGTTTAATGTTGGCAGCCTTCAGAGATACCTGAGTGGGACGTCTCTGGTGTCAAATAACGACCCCCTGACCGTAAGACAGTACAGGTAAACTAAATCGCCAGAGCAGACTGGCTTCCTTGGTTTATTTTGTCCAAAGCTCTTCTTGTAACGCAGCGAACGACATCCTGCTGTTATCTCTGCAGTGCTGGCCAGTCTAACCCAACCTTCTTGATCCAGGCAACTTCAAGTTATGTTCTCAGGAAGAAGCCCACCGGGGAGCTGCTTCCCGGGGCTCACAAGGTGAGCTTCCAGCCACGCGCGCTAAATGACGCTACTTTGAAATTCTATTAAAACTGAAAAAATATATAAATAAAAACACAGCTGGGTGAAATTCTCTATTTTATCCAGAAGGGGGCAGCAATAGAAGTCTTTTTGAGCCATAGATCACTAGAAGATAACTAATTCAGCTGTTTAATATTATTATTCAGTTAATGACTTGTGTGTTGTGTAATTCTATGCACAAGTTTATAGACTTTATATTAAAAGTGTTTTTTTTTTGTTTTTGTTTTTTAAAATATCTGATTGTCATTGAGTGATTTTTAGAAGAAAATTGTCTTGCAAAGGTTTGAAAAAATTAGTTAATTGTTTTGATTCATTGTTATGTTTTTGGAGGTCTTTTCCAAGCCATGGAGAGATTTAGCCAATTGGTTGACAGCCATCAGTTTACTGGCAGAGATTGTAGCATCAATTAGTGGTTTCTGGCAGATCTTTATCTAAAGTGTCATGAGCCAAGACGCACCGAGGGAATAGCCCAAATGTGGCCTGAGAGATCAATCCTGCATGCTATGCTCACAGTTTATGCATTTAGTGGAGCTCATGTGTGATCTGATAACCTGCAGGTGGATAGAGAGTACCGAGTGCAGAGGGCCCTTTTCTCTGCTGGTTTCCCTGTCCCTCAGCCCCTATTGTACTGCACAGACGTGGAAGTAATAGGAACAGAGTTCTACCTTATGGAACATATGAAGGTAAGAGTTTACTGCACAAAAAATTACCATAACCTCTTTATTTGTAAAACACTTTAGGATAAATAATGGTTCACAAAGTGCTGAACAGACTAAAACATACAGGAAAGAGTCGGATCAGAAGCTTAAAATGATTCCGGTAAAACACATTTGAGATAAAATAAAAGCTTACCTCTCAGGAAGTCTCAGATACCTTTGCAAATAAGTATTTAAAGAATAATTAAAGTCCCTTTAAAAAGTATTTCTGCCTGAAATTCAACATTTTGTCATTTTTTAACAATACTTTACTGAAAATTAATGGAGTTTTACATGTCAAACCAACACAAAGTAGTGCACAGTTGTGAAATGGAAGTAAAGTTGCACTTGATTAAAAAAACAAACATTTAATGATGATGATGACAATCTGAAAGGTGTGGCAGGCACTTGTATTCATCAGTCCTTTTTCCAATTTTCCTCCCATGCGACCTGAAATATCCTGCCTCACTCTGTCACTAACTGCCATGGTAGGCAGAATGGCTTTACTAACAGAGGTAGGTAGAGTAACCAAACATTGTATTCAATTTAAATAGCACTATTTGACATATTTTTACCCAAGTTAAATAAAAAAAGATGGACAATCAAGAAATGATGAAAGTAAGAGTAAAGAAGTATTCAACAAGAAGACTTATTTCTCATAAGAGCTGAGTAATGCATAAACAAGTGTAATTAGACAATAAAGCCTAAGTTACGAAATCTGGTATCTTATAGAGGACAAGAAACGATACTGTGACATAATTTAAAGGCCCACTGTGTAACTTTTGGTCACTAGGGAAGCTAGACCTGTAACTGCGCTTATTTTGCGTCTACTAAACATCTGTCATGGCCCCTGGTTTTTTGACCCCATGAACACACTGAGGAAACAGGTAGTTTATTAAAAAAAGCAGGACACGCAGAGTTTCTTTAGGGCGTCCTTCTTTCAACCTTTGCTAGCGAATAAACTCCTTTCCATGATCGACTCTTGTTTTTCCATTTAACGTTTTCTCTTTTTAGCCTCCTCAGAAGGTTTAAACTTTTTCCTTGCCTCAGCCATGACCAGTAGTCGAGCAGGCAGAAAAATAGTAGAGCAAAAGCCTGAGCTCCATCAGTATGTAAGAGCCTGTGGCAATAATGGGGTCTGAAATTGTCATTTTAGGTGCATTTCCACTGTGACACACATAACAATGGAAATCCAAAAATCACAATACATGATTTTCTAACTATTTATTTGTATGATACAGCTGCAAATAAGTATTTGAACACCTGTCTATCAGCTAGAATTCTGGCCCTCAAAGAACTGTTAGTCTGGCTTCTAAATAATCACCTCTACTCCATTTATTATCCTAAATTAGAAGCACCTTTTTTAGGTCTTAGCTGCATAACGACACCTGTCCACCCCATACAATCAATAAGAATCCAACTACTATCATGGCAAAGACCAAAGAGCTGTCCAAAGACATTCAAGAATAAATTGTAGACCTCCACAAGGCTGGAAAGGTCTATGGGGAAATTGCCATCAGCTTGGTGAAAGAAGGTCGACTGTTGGAGCAATCATTAGAAAAGACTGGGGTTCCATGCAAGATCTCACCTTGTGGGGCCTCAATGATCCTAAGAAAGGAGAGAAACCTACACAGGAGGAGCTGGTCAATGTCATGAAAAGAGCTGGGACCACTGTTTCCAAGGTTACTGTTGGTAATACACTATGATGTCATGGTGTGAAATCATGCATGGCCCGGAAGGCTCCCCTGATAACACCAGTACATGCCAAGGCATGACTTAAGTTTGCTAATGTCAAGTTGGATGATCCACAGGAGTCGTGAGAGAAGGTCATGTGGTCAGATGAGACCAAGATAGAACTTTTTGGTCATAATTTTACTAACTGTGTTTGGAGGAAAAAGAATGAGGAGTACCATCCCTAGAATACCATCCAAATCCATCCATTTTCCATCACGTTTTGTCCCACCTGGGGTCACGAGGGGTGCTGGTGCTGTCTACAGGCAAGAGGCACGATACACCCTGGACAGGTCGCCAGTCTATCGCAGGGTTACATTATACAAATAAATAGTTTTAAAAAATATATATTGTGATTTCTGGATTTTTTGTTTTGATTATGTCTCTCACAGTGTACATGCACCTATGATGACAATTTCAGACCCCTCCATGATTTCTAGGTGGGAGAACTTCAATTATTTATTTTCCTCGTTTTGTGTATATATATATATAATATATATATATATACATACATGTGTATATATATATATACATACATGTGTATATATATATACATGTGTGTATATATATACATGTGTATATATATATTTACATGTGTATATATATTTACATGTGTGTATATATATACATGTGTGTGTATATATATATACATGTGTGTGTATATATATATACATGTGTGTGTATATATATATATACATGTGTGTGTATATATATATACATGTGTGTGTATATATATATATATGTATGTGTATATATATATATATATATATATATGTGTATATAAATAATATGTTTGCAAAGGGATTCATAATTGATATGAAAACGGCAAACTTTGTGCTGGATCTGGTTCTAATCCTTAAGGTGTTCAATAAGGGATGGTCCGGATGCGATTCAGGTCAGTCAAGTTTCTACACACCAAACTGTATCCAGTTGCAGTCATGGAAGTTAATGGGAAACCCAACTCTGTTGACTTGATCGAGTGCCAAATATATCCAATGACAGGATAAACTTATTTTGTCCACTTGATCTTTAAAATGGGCTCAGTTAGCTCAGGAGAAACAAAAACAACCAAGCTTGTGTACAAATATGAAGTCTCACTTTAAAATAAATTGTATGTGTGTGTGCACTTTTTATTTTATAAAGTTACTCACTTAAAGTATAGAGATTGTCAGATACGGGTTATTTAAGGCCATTACAGACATGAGTTTAACCGATCCCCAATATGTGCTGCCAATATTTATGAGTTCATTCTTAGAGCCGATATTTCTTTTGCTCCCTCCATTTACACAATACAAATGAAACAATGATAACAAATGTAACAAAAATCTTAATTTAAATAAAAATGCCAATGCTGCCGACTGTACTCAAACTTTCCAAGCTGGGCCCCTCTTTTTATTACAAGAAAGTTTTTCCATCCCCTCAATCTCTAACCCAGCTCCAACCTTTTCAAGAGTTCAAGAGAAAATTCTGCAGCAGTTAATGAAATATTGCCATGAAATTAACTAGAATCTACCTTAAATTGCTAAAAATTCTACTTTTAAAGTGCTGTTATTCAAACTTTAGCTTTTTTTCTACTGTGTAAGAGAATTTAACCTGGCTATCAATAAACAAATAAATAAAACCATCTCAAATTGGGTAATTTATTCTATTAATTTCTACTACATCTCCTCCATTTACACTACACCACCCCTAGGGGGCGTGCCATTTGAGAACCACAGCCCTAATGAATAAGCCAAGGCATACTTATGTCAGCCAATACAGATAAAGGAAAACCTTTTCGACCAAAAACATCAGCTGAGCTCCATTGATCTCTGGTAGGGTGAAATAGAAACAGAGATACTCCCTAATAATATAACACTTGGTAAAGTAAAAGATGCAGTAAAGTTACTCCTGAAACTACATTTTGCTTAACAAAGTTACTCAAGTAAATGTAACTAATTACTACCCTCCTCTACGGCTAAGAAAGTTAAACTATTAAGGAATGTTTATTTTGTTTGTAGTTTTTACAGTGCTTGCACAGGTTATTTTCTGTCGGGTGAAATCATAGTCCGAGCATGCAGACAGCTCAACTAAACGCAGTTTTCACCTGACATCCCAGCAAACAGAAAATAAGGAGTTCATTATGGAAAGATAGAGAGCTTAAAAACATTGATCTCCAGCTTCTCCCATCAGAAACTTTGTTTTTTATTCTATTGTACTCTTCGTCTATGTCATAGAAAGGTGTTAAAAGCATTTTTTCTGCATTGTCGGACATGTTTTCTATTTTCCGGCTGTTTCGGACAGCAGCAGTTTTTGTGGCTGTATCTTCTTCTTTCATATTGGTTAAGAGTATCAGTTTACTGTCTGTTTGATAGATATAGTAGCTTAGTGCGCTGCTTGCCTACCAATATGGCCATTTAATGATGTGGATCACTCCTGTTTTCTGACACATGGGAACTAATATATACTGATATCAGAAGTTGCCTAATGAGCAAATTTAGTCAATTTATGTTTAATTTACAGTCAGTTAAAATGTGATTCTTGTGAAGACCGCTGAGATTTGTTCAAGAACACAAGGAGGGGAAGAAAAAAACAGTATAATGGAGGTCAAAGACCGCAGCAGCCAGGCCACGGGTCACACTGTGGAGTTTTAGTTGGGTTAGGTTATAGCAGATACGTTTCATTGATTGCTGATTAACAGGCTTTTGTTGAACTGCAATAATCAGAATCAGTTGTGCTGAAGTAGGTAAACCTCTAAAACCTGCAGGACAGCAGCCCTCAAAGACCGACTTGGGGTATCCCTGGGTTATAGGGGTAACATCCCAGATGGTGAACATTTGCCGGAGTCCTTCTCATCACCAGGCCTGTCACCATAACATTTCCTAGACAATAGTCACAGAAATTATTTTAAAAACAGTAATATTGTCATAGCGATTGAATCCAAATGATCTCACAGTGTCACTGTCACATTTGTCTCTGGAAACTTCCGTCTGTTTTTGTTTACCAAATCTCAGCATTTCTCTGGTTTCAAGATAACTGTTGATTTTTGCTCCTTCCCCTCCATAAGGCGCAGGCTGTCAGGATAGATATTAAGATAATTTAGAAGGTGATCCTGCTGATGATGCCAACATCATATCCTATCCATTATATCCTAATGTTGTTAAGGGGAATAAAGAACCATTCTAGAGCACTTTGCACTAACCCTAAGCTTGTAGACGTTTCACCCCAAGGCTTTCAGTCTTTGAAAGCTTGCTTCTCCAAAGTCCACTGTTGCAGGATTATACTGTAACTTTTTATGAAAAATGCATACATGAACCAGCATGCTAGCTGCAACTGCTGCATCTTTCTCTACATTTCAGTTTAATGACAACCCACCTCAAGCATTTTACCGCCAGCTTGTGGCCTGGAGTGAGAAATCTTAAATCTGTGATTTAAAGTTTTATGCTTCTGCGATTTGAAAACTGCATTTTGTTAAATTGTGATTATACTTCAAATGCAATTAATTTCCCTGCCCCAATTCTAACTGAACCTTTTGAATGAAATCCGTCCATGTGTGGTTTGTTGTGCTTCCATTGTGGCTGTGCACCAAACATGGTAGAACACAATGGCTTTTATTCCCCTATTTTCAAGCTCCATGTGTGGGATCTCATACAAGTTTAGAAAATCATCTGACAATTTTAAAATCTTGCCATGTGAACCAGGCTTTTTTCAGGCTCCCATGCTACAGTTGCTACAGTAAGGAAATGATAAGGGGAGGGGTGAGGGAAACCCTGTCATCCAGACTCTTTAGTAGAAATAGAGGGAGACGAGAAAAACAGACAAACATGCTAACCTACATTTTTTAACTCATTTGTAATTGATCATGCCATTCATTTTTATCATGTGATTAATTGATTTGTTGTTTATTATGATACGTCTACTTCTCACATTCATTAACAAAAAGAGAACCAAACAACTGTAACCCTCCAAAGGCATGGCTAACAGGCCTACTGTATATTACTCTGGAGGAGCTGCAGAGATAGAATATCAAGTGGGAGATGTTTTTTTTTTTTTTTTTTGAATAAAAACTAATGAATTTGCATGCCAGAAATCAGTTTATGATTATTTACAAGAAACTGTTAGATGTCCTGTTTGCAACAAATCGGGCAGGGAACACCTCAAACATGTGAAAGAAGATTCCCTGGATGGAACAGATCTAAATATCAAATAAGAGCTAAAAGGCAAAAACCTTGTGAGTGTTGGAAAACTTTCATCCTCTGTATAGTCTATCTCTACCAAATAAGTCATAGGGTAGAGAAAGGTTTGGAGGTTGGTTAGCTTTACTGCAGGACAATGACCCTAAACTTACAGCAAGAGCGACGGTGAGATTCTTCAAAGCAAATCATGAATCATAGATCAAAATTTTTATATATATGTTCAAAAATTCCTGCCCTCAACACAGAATTCTGCTTTGAACAATAATGGGCCCAAATGTCTTTTTCTTTTAGATGTTCTGTTATTAAAAACAGAAGTGGTTCTTTACGATTATGCATTGCTTTATGTTGGTTTAAAGGGTAAAAATCCAATTTGATACACCAAGGGTTTTAATTGGGATGTGACAAAATGGCAAAATATTCAAGGGGGTCAATAGTTTTTGAGTTTATTGTATCTATCCCACATCAAAATGCTGTTTTTGTTTTATGTTCCCCAGTGGTTTTTATGTAATTAATTTATTTTTGTTGAGCAGGGCCGCATATTCAGGGATTTACGGCTTCCTGGGATGAGTCCAGCTGAAAGGACGGCTGTGTATGCCGCCGCGGTGGAACTCCTGGCTAAGCTGCATTCCCTGGACTTAAAGTCACTGAAGCTGGAAGGCTTCGGAAAGGGGCCGGGATACTGCAAAAGACAAGTTAGTACATCACTATGCACACATGACATCCTTCTTTTTTCTCTTACTTCTGTGCTCAGGTTAAAAGAAATAAAAACATTGGATTTATTTTTGAAGGTATCCACCTGGACGAAGCAGTACACAGCATCGGCCCACAGGGACATTCCAGCAATGAACGAGCTCTCTGATTGGCTGATGAGCAACTTGCCAGATAAAGATGATGAGGTCACTCTGGTCCACGGAGATTTCAGGCTTGACAACTTGATATTCCACCCAACTGAGGTCAGATTTCCAGTAGAGTCATTCTGACTACATGCCTGCATTTTTTAGATATTACTAGACAATCCGGTCGTTTATCTAATAAGGCTCGGGTGTTGGCGTTGCTGGACTGGGAGCTGTCCACCACTGGGAACCCTCTAGCAGACCTGGCCTACTTTCTCATGCCTCTCTACTGGCCCCAAGATCTCAACATTACAAACTCTATTGGCAGCCTTAAAGGAATAGAAGGTTTTGCCTCCTCTAAATATGTATTACAAGCTTGTCATGATTATAATAATTAACAGATTAATAAAAAAAAAAAATTATAAGTCAACATTTATGTGTCATTTTTTTTCTGTGCAGGTATTCCGGCTGCTGATGACCTGATCTCCATTTACAGCAGATGTCGGGGGATCCCATCAGGCTCTTTGCCTCAGCTGAATTTCTACCTGGCTCTATCTCTTTTTAAAATGGCTGCCATCGCTCAGGTTTTTCTCCACTCAGCTGAACAAACATGTTTGAATTTCTGAAAGTTTGATGTCGTGTACTAGAAGAATTCAGTTTTTTCTATTAATTTGTTTGGTTTCCCTTCCTTTTTTTCTTCAAATATCCAGTTATGCATTGCTTTTAGTTTTTTTTTTTTTTTTTTTTTACGGATGAGGATTAATCTCTCACATCACATCCACATAATTGTATGTATTTTATCATAGTGCAATAAGTCTTTATTTATCATCATAAAAGAAAAAAACAATACACAAATTGAAAAGGTTTGTCATGCATTTGTTACTACAGACCCACATTTTCACTGTTGAATAATGTCTTCACTCTATCTGACCTTTAGCCTCTCAGCCACATCATGACACTTAAATTATAAAATCCTACCACATTATTGCATCCAAGAAGTCCTTAATCCTACACACGCTCTTATTTGACATTTTTTACACTCTAGTCTTTCAAATAAAAAGTTTTCTGTTTTTTTTTCTCTTCTCCTTTATCAGGGTGTCTATGCTCGGTACCTGCTGGGTAACGCCAGCGCGCCTGACGCAGGCCTGTTTGACCAGAATGTTGAGCCCTTGGCTAAAATAACCCTGCAGCTTGCCAAAAGGTTTGTTACTCTTACTCTAAATTAAATGAATAGTTCTTCATTTCACTGATTTCAAAGTTACGATTTGATGAGATCAAGTAAATAAAAATCCACAGATGGCTGGCAGTAAAACATCCAGCGCTTTTTTTGTTATTGTACTGATTGAGTCCACCTGCTGAGTGAACTTTAGCAGTTGGAATTTGGCACCCAGCTGTTTCTCCTAGCGTATCCTGCCAACGTTTCACATGTTTCCGATGTGTTTCCTGCCAGCCCTCTCACAGGTCCCTCAAAAGCCGGACTCTTTCTGCAGACAGCTAAAGGCCAGGCTGTGCTTCAGCAGGTTAAAGACTTTATGCGGCAGAGCGTGCTTCCTGCTCAGCAGGTCAGTGCCAAGTGCTCCCAGAGGGACAGAGGAGATTTCATTAGTTCAGACGGAAGGTTAACTTTGACACAGAAGGATTATACAGTCCGGTTCACCCACACAACACGGATGACGTAATCACATGGAGAAAAACAATGAGGCTGTTGATGATTTGGGGTTTTATGCATGCTGAAACCTCACAGTTGGCTGAAGTTCACTGAAATTTTACTGACTTGCCTCTTTTTATTGAGAGAAAGCTGGACACACCAAAACAAACTAACAAAATGCTGTTTAATACGTAAGTGTGTTTACTGTTTGTGAGAAGTCTTTTCACTAATGAGAGAGAATCAAGATGGGAGGAATTTTCTTTTCTTTTTATCTGAATATAATTGTTGCTTATTTCCACAGGAAGTAGCAGAGTATTACACTAAACATGCAGCGTCTCCTCTGAGGTGGCACACCCCAAAAATAATAGAGGAGCTAAAGGTAGGCTGGAGGAATATACCGCCTCTGTTTGACCTGGAAAAGCAGTCCTTATCACCTGATCCTAGTGTCAGTTATTGAAGTAAATAAACTAGAGATCATTTGTCCTGCTCTGGCTAATCGAAATCAACCGTCAAATTTTAGATGATTAATATTTATGTCTTTCTTCTTTAACCCCTGATGTCATTCTGGGATTTAGGAGAAAGCCAAGAAGGCCGGGCTGTGGAATCTGTTCCTGCCTGCAGTCAGTGGACTCTCTCAGTTAGATTATGCCTACATCGCAGAAGAAACGGGCCGCTGCCTCTTTGCTCCTGATGTCTTTAACTGCCAGGCTCCTGGTAAAAAAAAAAAAAAAAAAAGTTCTATTGTAGATTGATATTTAGGTCTTGTTGCAGCTAGGCATTTATTTAAGACAAAAGGTGGTTTTTCTTCCTGTCATACAATTTTTATCATAGTTCATCCATTTAACTCCATTATGTCACAGTAAAACTCCACATACAGAATCATATGAAGGCAGCACAAAATTAAGCATAATTGTGGAATAGAGGGAAAATTATAAATGATTTTCAAAATCTATTGTATTTGATCTACCTAAATCAATTTGTTACAGAAAAACCTTTTTATTTTATGTTTTGCACATTTGAGTATTAGGGGTAGGGGTGTAAATAATAATCGTTTTGTATCGATGCATCGATCCAAAAGCCGACGATCCGATGCATCGACACGTCCGCAAGATAATCGATTAATGTTTTTTTTTTTTCCTCCGGTCTATTTTTATCCATTTGCTCCTGGGCGTAATTCTCCCTCCCGTGCTGCAATGCCGCTAAACCTTTTTTGCCCTCCTACCTCGCTTCGTGGTTATACTCTTACAGCAGTTTGTTGCAGCAAGCTTCACACAGACATTTTTAAATTATGCTCAGTATTGAAGCGTGGTCTGGGCTACACGCTGTGGGTCTAGATACGGCCGAGGCGATGAGGAAGTGGGGGCGAGTTTAGTCCGACGACGGAGGGACAAAGGAGCGGAGATTCAGCTGGAAAAAGGCTCCCAGCGTTCTCGCGCACCTCACTCTTCTAGCGGGTCAAACTTCACGAGTTGTTTTCCGCAATTTCGGTCATAAAAACAAAACAAGCCGGCCTCCTGTCTGGTGCACTGTTTGCGGTCAGCTACAATCTGGGAGAGGAGCAGCGGAGCGTCTCTCAAGGGGGCGGTGACGCAACACTCTGGAGCCTTCTTCTTCTTCTTTTTTTTAATGGCGGTTGGCAAACAACTTATAGGTGCATTACCGCCACCTTCCAGAATGGAGTATGGACCAGACAAACTATTATATTCTCCCTATAATACCCGTTCTTCTTAGAAAATTAAAAATACTACCAAAAACTACATCCCCAGATGACCTTTGAAACAATTCCCTTATATGTAGTTTATTTTTATTCCTGTCTAACTCTCTACGCAACATCTCTCTTTCCTGAATATATTTATTACATTCTAAAAAAATATGTTGGACAGTTTCTCTGGAGCCGAGGTATTGCATTGAACTCATTACACTGATATTGTGCAGTATTTTTGCAGTATTTTTTGATGCAACTTTTCTACTTCTGTTATTTGCTGTTGTTTCTAAAGAAAATGCATAATGATATTACAGCTTTCATTGATTTATTTCAAACTTGAAACTTTGTTTAGCCTGTAAGGTGTAAAAAAAAAAAAAATAATAAAAAAAAAAAATTAACCGATTAATCGATTAATCGAATCGAATCGTGGTGTATTCTTAAGTATCGAAAATAATCGAATCGTTGAGTCAGGAAATCGATACTGAATCGAATCGCCATGATGGGTGTGATTTACACCCCTAATTAGGGGCAACTGTTGATAAAAGAATAATATATGCCTACAAAGGAATCCATCTCCTGCATGTTTACAGAAAGATAAAAACCTGAGTGCCCATGATTTAAAGTACAAATTTAAGATATTACAAAGAAAATATTCTTTGACATTTGAAATAATCAAGAAAACAAATAAAATGTGGCATATTACACTTTATGTGATACAAAATAGTCCAAGTTAAGCATTTTCAAAATGTCGTAGTTTTTAATTAAGAGTTAACATATATTTCCGGCTAACACAGCTACGCCTAAAAGCCTCCTCAAAGTTTCATTTGTGTTGCAGAAAGTGTAATATATCAAACATCGATCATATTAATAATACATTTGAGGTTTTTTTTTTACAGTTTTTTTTACTTTAAAAATGTTAGAACATTTCCTGGTTTTAATATCATACATTTAGGCCTTTCATCATGCAAAAACTCAAGTTTCTTCTGACATATTAAAGCCTTTTTGATACAGGGAATATGCTTCCAAATGGTATAACCAAATTTCTTTTTCCTTTCATTTAATGTGTTTATGTTTATGCATTTAGCAGATAGGCACAATGTTAAAATAAGGTAGGCATTAGCATGAAGGGTGTTGCCTAAGGAACCAAACTGGCAGCTCAATTCAATTTCAATTCAATTCAGTTTATTTATATAGCGCCAAATTCACAACACATGTCATCTCAAGGCACTTTACAGTTCAACCAGATCATACAGTCAAATTGATACAAAGTTTTCTATCTAAGGAAAACCAGTTGATTGCATCGACTCAAATACAATCCCTCACACTAAGCATGCTTGTAGCGACAGTGGAGAGGAAAAACTCCCTTTTAACAGGAAGAAACCTCCAGCAGAACCAGGCTCAGTGTAAGCGGCCATCTGCTGAGGCCAACTGGGGTTCAAGAAGACAGAAGCAGAGACACAAAAAGCAGCTGTAAAAGGCGGCCCCATCCAGGAAACACACAGCCAGGCAGACAAGCTCCAAGGCAGCTCCCATGCCAGAGGACGAAGAGAGCACATCCACTCAGTCACGGTCAGAGAAACAGGACCACACTGGAAAACAGGCCGATCTCCAACATCTATAAACAAGGGTGTTGATGGAAGCAGCACAGCTGATGTTTCTTTCCAGGATGACGTCACAGCCAAACAGGAGCAGACGAGGCAAAGCTACTCTTAGGAAAAGCAGAGAGAGCAGAAGGTTAGAGATTGAACTAACAGATTCTGCAGTTAGGAGAACAGAGAGAGAATGAAGCAGAATGATGAAATGGGGGTCCCTATGTCCTCCAAAAGTCTAAGCCTATAGCAGCATAACTATAGAGATAGCTCAGGATAACCTGAGCCACTCTAACTATAAGCGTTATCAAAAAGGAAAGTTTTAAGCCTAGCCTTAAAAGTAGACAGGGTGTCTGCCTCACGGACTAAAACTGGTAGTTGGTTCCAAAGGAGAGGAGCCTGATAACTAAAAGATCTGCCTCCCATTCTACTTTTAGAAATTCTAGGAACCACTAGTAAACCTGCAGATTGAGAGCGAAGTGCTCTGTTAGGAACATAAGGAACAATCAGATCTCTGATATAAAATGGAGCTTGGCCATTTAAGGCTTTATATGTGAGAAGGAGGATTTTAAATTCTATTCTGGATTTAACAGGAAGCCAATGAAGAGAAGCCAGGATAGGCGAGGATAGCTCATGCCCTCCAATGGAGACTTATCACTTGAGCTAGTCAGCCTTGCATCCATGAAGGCCCCTATGCTCAGTCATAATGTTGGCCGTTCTTTGCTAATTTCCTCTAGCTCAGTCAGATTGGATGAAGATAATCTGGTATTAACAAGTTTTTGGCTTTGGAAAACCAAAAATTTGGTTTATTTAAATTTAGGTCCAAAAATTCTAAACAAGTAAAACTTAAAACTTGATGCTAGAACCACCTCCAGATAATCGGATAAAATCCCAAACAATTCATTGACTCTCACGGAAGTAACTCTCCAAAATACAAAAAAAACTTTTACTTTTGCACATAACCACATTTTTTTCTACATCACTAGCCTCATATTATGCAGAATTTGGCAAAATTAAAACTCAAACCTCAAGAATTGCCGCCTGAAAGCAGCTTCCTCAGAAACTTCTAAAGCAGTAAATTTCCCAATAACACAATGATGATATTTCTCCACAGACACAGGAAACATGGAGGTGCTCCATATGTTTGGCACAGAGGAGCAGAAGAAGGAGTGGCTGGAGCCTTTACTCAGCGGAGAAATCCGATCCTGCTTCTGCATGACAGGTGCTATTATGATCAGACATTTCTTGGATGAATAAAATCATGTATGCACTGGCAAAATAATCTGGTATTTTAAAAAAAAAGTTAAATAACCACTTCATAACGGTTGATAAAATATTAAAGAATGCTGTAAGTGCATTTAAAGTAAATCATTCAGGTTTTCTGATCACAGGAGGATAGTTTGAAGCAGCTTTTCTCCTTTAGGATCCATTACTGGCTGATTTCAAATCTGTTACTGACAGTTTGTTTTTGTGCAAATTCCTTCTTAGTCACAGAAGGGGGGAAAAATTTGGATTTTTGTTTAGTTTGCTTGAGACTATTACAAAAATACCATCGGTTAAATAGCTAAGTTAAACCAAACTCACCAACAAACTTTATGCTTACTTATGTGTGTTTTTGCAGCGACAGACGTGGAATATGTGGATGCAGGCGTCACTTATTGCTGCTGATCTCAGAGCTGAACGGTTTAGAGTTCTGTTTTACCTGCTTATCATGGTGATCAATTTTATGTAGAATAGCTGCAACTAGAATAAACTTGCTAGATTTCCTAAACTGATGCAGAATATATGTCAGATTAAACAGATCTGTAGCAAACATTTGTGACTGAAACATTAGTGCATTTAGAAATTGGACAAGTTTCAGATTGTTTAAATTCCAGAAGATCTAATCTGTTTGTCTGGACCGACTCTGCACTGACACTTGAAAAACAGCGCCCCATTCCATCCTATATTTCTTCTCTTCATGGGTCTCATTCCAAAGGTTCAGGGGGTTAGTCACACATATTTTTAAACTTCAGCCTTGACGTTAAAAAGAAAATGTCGACTACCAAAGCAGAGGTAAATCAAATATTTGTGTGAGAGGGGAACGTGCTGTGAAGGGTTAGGATTTTCCTCTAAATGGAAAACCACAGATAGTTTTCTATGATTTTTTTTTTTTAACGAATCTTCACCCTGAGAATAACCATTTCAAGATCATAGTTCAGTTATTCCCCCCTTCTTTTAATTCCTTTCATAATTATAGTAGTGCAGACCCTCCCTTGCAGAACCATTCACACCCCTTCAACCTTTTACAGCCTTTAGTTACTTCATAGCCATAAATTTAGATTTATTTGATTTAGATTTTATGTGATCTCCATCCGAAAGAAGTGCATAATTGTGACGTAAAAGACAACACGTACATATTTTTTTTAACCTTTTTTCATCAATTAAAAATGAAAAGTATGGTGTGTATTTGTATTCACCCCTTTTTACTTGAATCCTTCTATATAAACCACATCTGTGGGTAATTTAATCTCAGCATATATCCACTTATTCTGTGAAGGGCCTTATAGAAATAACATAAAACACCAGTATTTCCCCATTGTGGGACAATAAAGGGATTTTCTATTTCTAAATGGCATCACAGAGACACAGGAACAGGTGAGGGATGAAGTTAATATCGCAGTTGGGTTATATAAAAAGAAAAAAGAAATTCCAGGGTCTGAACATCTTGATGAGCTCTGTTTAATCCATCATCCCGAACTGAAATACAGCTGCAACCTAACAGTCAGCTAAGCTGAAGATGAAAAGCATTACTTATAGAAGCAACCAAAGCATTTGTATTAACTGTAGAGGAGCTGCAGAAGTCCAGGGAAAAAACTTAAAAGGGTGTGAAATGTTTTTGAAACACGCTTATTTATCAAGCAAGGCATGAACCTGGATGTTCACAGGTTTACTCATGGAAAGAAGACTGTTTTGATGTTTCCTTCACCCTCTCTTCTCTGGATTATGTCGGATGGATTCCTGGGAACGTTGTGGTCTGAAGTCAGCCAGGTTAGGCTCCTTTCCGCTGCTACTGCTACTCTATGCTGTGAAGCAGCCACCAAAAGCCAACATCCACAAACAGAGAGATCTGAATCATCCTCCCTGTTTTTCCACCCCTGTTGTTCCAAAGCTGCCTGGAAATGGCATCAAGCTGCTAAGCAATGATTAAACAGGGTTCGAAACATCCCTGGTGTTTTTATTCTTCTTTTGTTTATTTTTTCCTGGGGGGGGTTAATTAACCCACCAGATGGCGTGGAAACAGAAACCTCTATCTTTTGCTGGTAAACCATTTACATTTTGGGTTCTGCATTCTGTTTTTATTTATATTAATACTTAACTGCGGTTTAAGCAGGGATCGGAGGATAAAAAACAGACACGGTACAAATGGAAAACCTCTGGGCGTCTCATTGACTCATTCTCTTCTAAACTATTCTCACCAGAGCCTGACGTAGCTTCCAGTGACGCAGCAAACATGGAGTGCAGTCTCCAAAGGGACAAAAACACCTACATCCTAAATGGCAAAAAGTGGTGGAGCAGTGGTGAGTGATTAGATCCATCCTACTAAAAGGTTTCTTTCTTCTTCACAGTGCAACATGTACTCAGAGAGCTTAAAACATAATAAATCCTAAAGAAGTAGCTTTATAGGGAGCATTAAAGCTTATTTGTGGGTTTTTTTATATAAGTAGAACAAACCCATAAAACAAGAGCATCTTTTTAAAATGAGAAACCTGTAAATGGAACGTCTAGCGCACAGTGTGTCCCTAAAAGGGCCACTTTATATGTAAACAAGATCTCATGCCAGCGGAGCCCTAAAGAGATGCATATGAACCCAAACTGCTCGCATATGGGCAATAAAATCATGAAAATGACTCATAAAGTACGTATTATATAACGTAAACACATTTTAATGAGCTTAAAAGTGTTCAATGTGGGACTTTTAGTGAAAAACAGGGTTTTAGTTTGCCAGACGACTGACAATGGTATAAGGTCATAGATTCCAGCTGTAATACTAAATCTTTTTGTCAGAATGTATTTTACCTCTGAAAAGAGCCATTTATAGGATTAAGTTCAGTTTGAAGGAAAACAAAAGATGGAAGGCGTCATGTTTAATCGCTAAATGTTAAAAAACCTAAAATCTCATTCTTTATCCGCCTGTGGTTTATTTTAAATTATCCATTTTCTATGTAACAATTTAGTCTGTTTTTGCCTTAAATTTGACACATTTGAGAATATATTATTAATTATAACAATGAATAAAAACATTAACAGCACATATATCTAAAGGGAGGAAATATCAAAGCAGAACGATATTAAATATGTTTTGCAGCACCTATGAATAAAACCACATGGAAACATTACAGTTAGAGCCAAATATAATGACCTTATCTAACCTAAGCAAAGTACAAGACCTTTCAAATGTTTAAACATCCCACAACGCACAGTTAAATCAAAGAAAATAGAACCTGCAATATACCTGTTTTTATTCAGGAGGTACTGAAATCCAATGTCATGAAATGTTTTTATTTTTTTTTAATACTACGTTAGTTCAACTGATTAATATTTAAAACATTTTACTGTTTCATTGTCTGAAACGTTTTATGAAACAGCCAATTTATTCATCCTGTTTCCCGGATGAATGGATATGATGTGACACACGGGAATTTATTTCTGAGCCACTTCTCAAAACAGGAAAGATCACAGCACATTTATTAACAAATGCAACAACACTGCTGCTTTAGTTTTACTGTTTCTTATTTGATTATTTAATTTTTACTCTGATGAACTGGTTTAAATCCTTTCCCTACATGAATGTTTGCATTCTTTAAAAAAACCTGCTTGTCTGATTATTCTGAGCTGGTAGCATAGTTATCAACAGTTAGAGCTGCAACTTCACTTGACCCTTCACAATAAAAGCTATAAATATGTCATATTTTGAACTTCTTTATAAAACTTGCAGCATCTTTTCTGCTTGAAAAAACGGCAGCTTTGTTGCTGGATGGATTATTGAATATTTCCTCATTCAATAAACAGAAGTTGATAAACTTATTGTTAAGAGCTGTGAAAAGAATCTGTTAACACCATTATAACTGGAAAAAGTGCAACATGCCAGTGTTTTTCTCCAGCCTGCCTTTTATTGAAGCCGATGTCTGTTAATCCTCATAAGTCAGGAAATTGCTGCCAGAAAATAGCTACTGGCTCAAACTTGCCAGTCGAGTGGCAATTAAAGTTTAAAACAACAGCAACTGTGGCTAACTAGGCTGGATGAGAACCACACATTTCTCACAACCACACACGGAGAGGAAGACGTTTACATTTTTTTTCCAAAGCTCACTCAACAGAGTGGCATCCTAGCAACACAGTTTCCATAGCAACCGTAAGATGCTATCTATTGCCATCTTGTCATTTAAAAGGTGTGTCAGAAAAATCGTTCTCTGTTTTTCCATCTTGAATGTAAATATAGGGTTTGCAGACGCTATTTGGACTTTTAAATCCCAGATATGACAGAAAACAGTTTCTTTTTTTACTGTGAATGCTATTCCTTTGTTTTTCTTTATAAATGTGCTTAACATTAGAACTTTACTCTCATTATCAGGCTAAGAATTATCTTTTTTTGTGTATTCTGGTTTGCACTTGAAGTCTTCTGTCCCATGGATTTCTTCTTTCTCTTTGCGGTTGTTCTACTGTTAACATTCACATCTGCATTGAAGCTCTTTTCCTTGGATTTTATTTGTCCTGCAATGGAAAGAATCTTGTGATTTCTTTAGCCAGCATGAGAATATCTTCCTGTTAACAGGAAGAATGTGGGTGTGCTGACTCCCGGTTCCTCTCCCTTTCTCTGCAACCTGTGGTCTCTGCTCTCCACACGTAATTCAAAAAATGGAAGTATTGTTGTATTCTCCCTCTCTCTATGAGTCATGATCTAAACTTGAACTGTCAGAATTTACAAGGAAGGAAAAAATAACAAGTGAAACTTGTCAGGTTTGTTGTAATGGGATGCGTTTCCAGGGTAATCCTACAATGGTGGAGTCAATGTTTCCAGGAATCAATGCCGGTTCCTCACAACCAGGGGCGGATCTAGAAAAATATTTATGGGGTGGCAAGAGGGGGGCAGGAATTTTTTAGGGGTGGCAACATATGGCATTTGTTTACACTGAATTTAATCACAGTTATCACAGTTTGGTGAGATTAGTATGTACAGTACTAGTGTTTCATGTGAAACGGTTCATATTAATAATACATAGTACAATGAGATCTCACTAAATAGGAGATAGAAGAATGATAACACTACTTCTAGAGGGGCATTATGACAGGAAAGGTATTAAGGTAAGACACAGGTACTGAGTGGCAGATGTGTGAGATTAACTGTCAGAGAGGCAGCTTTGCAGCATTTGCACAAGAAGAAACTATAAAAAGAAAAAGTTCCCCATCAGAGATCTATGGACTGAGCTGGACTAAAGTGAGCAGAACTACACAGTAGAGATAAATGGGTCAAGGCACCCGAACAAGGTACTGGACATCTATGTAATGTTTACTCTGGACACACATTTACTCAATTTGTTCCTCAGTAACTTGACATACAGCAGTTAAGGCAACATGAAAGGGACATTTCATGCATGTAAATATGCTGTAGATAGAGCTGTATATGGAGGACCAACTCCGGCATATTTAAAAATAAATACAGAAATAAATAAATGCTCAATAAATAAATAAGCATACAATTAATTGCCACCAAAAATACAATCAACAAATAAATGTAATTAGAAATTATATTATAATGGCAGGCAGAAATGTTAAAAGGGCAGGCAGAAAGAAATAGCGGCGAAGAAATAACTAGGGTAAAAAAATACAAAGGAAGAATAAAACAGACAAAAATATGATAACATGCACATAAATAAATACTTAAAAATATAAGTAATGAAAAAATGAAGTTGAAGATAAGAAATGACCAAAAAGTAAATAAGGTAAATATTAAAAAGGCAAAGAAATAAAGAAGCCAATTAAAAGAGTTATATACCTTTATGACTAGCTGTATAATTTAATTTCTACTTACATTTATTTGTTGTTTGTATTTTTGGTGGCAATTTATTTATTGAGCATTTATTTCTGTATTTATTTTTAAATATGGCAGAGTTGGTCCTCCATACTGCTGTATCAACAAATCAACAAAAAGGCGGGTTCTGTATGTTACATCAAAATCTCCATAAATCTGAAAAGAAGCAACATAAAAATACATTTTGCTTGTGAGTAGGTTCATACAGGTCATTTCTGGACAGTTTCATATTATATATACAAAAAAAGAAACAACAACACTGCTTCATATTAAGCAGGATTCACACCAGTATCACATTTTTAACTTTTAACACTTTTGGTTTTATTAAAGGAAATATCAGATTTTCTCAGCTGCCAAAACAAAATGTAACGGCTCTGTAAAGGCTCACCAGAGAGCATAACATAAAGTTGACATGACTATAACAGCTGAATGCAGTGATTTCCATGTTGCTCAGCAAAACACTTCACAACTTTATTTAGATCCAATCCCTTTGTGCGTTTTGATTTGAGTGCAACCAAACTATATAGTCTCTTTTCTGTCATAGTTGACCGCAAATATGTCTTTATGAGCCTGAGACGTCAGGCCTAACTAACATCATAGATAGAGAAATAACGTTCTAAAACCTGATTTTTATCATCTCAAAATCAACATTGCAGCTATGCTAGCAACATTGTGCTTTCATTATGATTTAATTTCTCCATAGATAGTTAATCAGTTTTACCCGTTTCATCCCATGTCTCCTCTCCCCATCACCCCTGGCTCCCTCGCTTTGCCCCATTCGGTTTTCAAAACAATCAGTCTCAGTCGCTCTCGCATCATCTCGTGCTGCATTCACTGCAGTCCGACATTGGAAATTAGCGGTCGTAATTCTCAAATGATCCATAATTTATAAGCCTCGCCACCCCTACCGCCAACTGGGGTGGCAGCTGGGGTGGCAAGGCTGTCATTTAGGGTGGCAGTTGCCACCCTATGCCACCCCAGTAGATCCGCCTATGCTCACAACATGGGTGTTTTCCAGTATAATGGTTAAGATGTTAGGAGATTTGGGGAAAGCTTTGGTTTGTTTGCTGAGTATATTTTTTGCTGTAATGAAATGAAAAGAAATTAAGTTCAGTGATCAGAATTATTGTTTATCATCTCCGAGCACCATTATTGCCATAGAAGTACCCTCCCAGGATGAGACTTTTTAAAAGCCCTCCAAACCAAATGTTCTGCAAAAAGATGCAGCTGTTAAACATGGTTTCTAAATAAAAGGGCGCATAGAGGTTGACAGTGTAGAAGCTATATACTTCTATCCCTGGGCATGATGATGCACTCAAATTACTCCTAGACTCTCTATCTCTTATCTCTACTGTCTTTAAAAGGGTAGAGCTTTTTCCATATTTTCTCTATTTAAAACAGTAGATTTTTGCTGAAGCCTTTTTTCTGGAGGAAAGGGGCAAAAACACTCATCAGGAAAAACAGAATCACGCATTGCTGTTATGTTCAATGCCTTGAATCCCTCAAGTCAAACAAGTTTTTGAATGAGTCATTTCTTTTGGAATCTACCGTCTTTTGATTTAATTCCAGCTTCAGTTGTTATATTATGCACTTTTATGTTTTAAGAGGTGAAGCGACTCACAGTGGTGCTTTTTTTATTACATGGAAACAAAATGTTTTGTTTTGTTTTTTTTTCAAAATTTTCTGAACAACGTCAACTGTTTTTATTTGAGATGCCTTCAGGGAAAACTACACAGAGCCACCTTTAAAGTTAAAGTTGGATATGTATTGGCCTAAATGTCTAGTATCTCTGCTCATTTAGACCCATCCAGAGTAGAATTTTTGTCCATTCTTTGCAAAATCGCAATCGAGCAGTCAGCATGGATGGAGAGCACCAGAGTACATATAATTTTATATCTTGCTGCAAGTTTTAGGTTAGATTTGAGTCTGGGAAATTTTATTGCATGAAATTGAAGCCAAGTTATGCCTCTGACTGGTTGTTGAGTCTGTAAAACCCAGACTATCTTCTGTCGCCATCCTAAAGAATGGCATCCCAACAACAATACCGCTGTCAGCAAAAAATCCCATCTGATCTTCCTAATGTTTTCTGTTTGCCTCATAATGTCTGGCAAACTTTAATTACTTAAATTTTTTGCGTCTAGTTTCCATCAGAGGCTTCTTTTAACTTAAGCTGTGGATGTCTATCGCTAGAGCTAGAGCAAGAGCTACCATGCGCCTCTGCTCCGATTCTCTCAATATGGCATGGCTCTGTGCTGTTAAGTTTTTGTCATATGGTTTTCATTTTTAGGGGATGGATTAAACGGTTCTCTTTAAGGTATTCAGAGGTAGGGATCCTGCTTTTTAACAAGCTTCCTCCCTACCTGCTTGCTATGTTTTTTGTTTTTTATGATGCTTTTTTTTATTAATGTTAACTAATAATCCAAGCCTCACTTTTCAATTCCATTTATTTATATAGTGCCAATTCGTGACACATGTCATCTCAATGCACTTTACAGCGACAGTTCAACTGGATGATACAGTCAGACTGGTTATCTGTTTTATATCTAAGGAAAACCAACTGATTGCATCAACTAATTTACTCTGCAGCAATCCCTCACACCAATCACGCATGCAGCGAAGGGAAAGAGGAAAAACTCTCTTTTAACGGAAAGAAACCTCAGCCAGAACCAGGATCAGCGCGATCGGCCATCTGCCGAGGCTAACTGGGGTTCAAGGAGAAGCAATGACCTCTATCTTAGAAAAGGTAGTGGTAAACTAGCACCGCTGGTGGCTCTGTCTGGAGAAGAAACAACCAAGCAGATGAGCTCAGAGGCAGTTTCATCTTAAATGAATGAAAGAGCACATACAGTAAAAGCTAAGCTCTTGGCTATGTCTAGGAGAGAAACTGGAATAGGCACTGAAAACTCCTTTTCTTTCTCTTCCCAGTTATATATCACGTTGTGGTTGGAGTTTGACAACTTTTCAAAAACAGCAGCCATTATTATTTTAGCAAGTTTTTGTGCCTCGATTCACGTAGCGTTCTTTTACCTACTGGCTCTGTTTCTGGATGTGCACACAGCTTAGGCTTGGAAAAAAAAAAGTCAGACTCTAAACATCTGTCTGTGATGTGAGACGCATCATGCTTTAAAGCTTTAGATTGGAGTCAGGTGGAGTGATGGCTATTAAACACCTCAAAAAACACCAAACAGATCCTTTTGTGTCTGTTGGTAGTATCAGTGGGGGATCTAAAGAGATAACTTTGCCAAAATAAGCTGAAACTTCATTACTGTCGTGCGAAGAGGCTTAAACAAACAGTTAAGTGCTGGGCTGTTGCCAACCAGCACAATAAGCCAAGTTTTGATGTGTTTTAGGGAAAGCCTGGCATTATGTCGCATGAAGATATTATAAAAAATAAAATATCTAGTGGGAGGGTCTTTTCTACTGCAAATCATTCATTCTTTCAACTTTATTTTATTGAAATAAACAAATATAAATGGATGAAAAACAGCGGTTAAACTTTAAGCTCCTCTAAGGAAAATACAACTTTGCTGTTTACTACTCTGATAGCATGGAGGGGTCCTTCCTGCTGCGAGCTGTCCTGTCTTTACTTGCCAAATGTTTTCCGACTCAATGGGTCACCCACTGTGCAACCGAGCCATCTGTCATCCCCAACCCAAAGCCGCAGGATGTGATGAAATGCGACGCAGATGAGCTTTTGGAAGACAGAGTTGATTGTAAAGTTGGATCGGAGTTTCTGTGAACGGCTCCCCTGAGCAGTGAGAGGTTCAGCTGTGTTTAATTGGAGCAGATTCATGTTGCTGGAGGCTTTGTTCTTTTATTTAAGAAAATACATTATTTATACAAAATAACATAGCTTAGTGCATATAACATTACTTTACATAGTATTTAGCCTATGAGTTGATATGTGTGGCTACTTGTTTCTAGCTTGTTGTATGATAGTTAATACATGGACATATATATCAAGTAAAAATAGGCATGAGTTATGCTTACATGCAGTGACAGACAGTTATATTGGTACATGTGGAAATAATGTGCAAAAAGCCTTAGGATATATTCATTTTTTATCGCAGTAGGTTCGTCACAGGAAAGGTTTTAATAAAAAATTGTTTTGATGATATTAAGATTAGGATTCTGGTTTTCTTTTTATTATTTGTCATTTAGAAAAGTCTTAAGAGTGGCTTGGAAACAGATAAATATAGTTTGATTTCAGTTTCCTCCTGCCGCATGTCTTTGTGCAACAGACTTAACACAAAGCCAATCTGGTTATGTGTTCTTTGAGATGAAAGCTTTCTGTTTGGTTCAGTATATTTAGATTTCTATTTGTTTAGATGAAAAATAAATGAATAAAAAAAAGAAGAATGTTTATTTTCAAAATAAGACTATTTTGATCAAATTATATTGATTTTGAGATATGTATTCCCTACTTACGGTATGAAAATAGCTAAAATAAAAGCTTTTCGCTTGTGTTTTTGTTTGAAAATATGCAACTTTAATCATTGATGCATTTCTTTGAAGGCTTTTTGCACATATTTACCGATAAAGATTGTTGGCACATGTTCATGACGTAGTCTTAGATAGTGAAGGTGCTGGTGTCCTGGTCCTCCGAACCAGACTGAGATTGGTTGTGACTCGGTGAGTGGAGTGCGATCTCCACCGCAGGCTCTTCGTTGACTTGTCTTGAATGTCCTCCAAGTCTCTGTCCAAGGTGCTTGGCAGCCTTCAGGACATGTCCTCTGAAGGAAGACCCGATGAAGGCGTAGAGGAGGGGGTTGATGCAGGCGTGGGAGAGTGCCAGGCTCTCCGTCACCTGGCGAGCGCGGTCCAAGCCCTTGCTGACTTCGCAGTCCGTGACGAGGTGGTAGATGATGTCCATGGCTTTACAAAGCTTTACTATGTTGTAGGGCAGTTGGGTGAGCAGGAAGACGGCAACAACAGCGAGGAGGACCCTCAGGGCTCGCCACTTGCGTTCTTTACGCACCCCAGCAGCCTTAGCTAGTGCCCTGCCTATTAACGAGTAGCAGACCACCATGACCAGGAAAGGAAGAAGGAATCGAAGGATCACCTCCAGCAGTTCCAGGGCAGCTTTTGCAGGTCGCGCCATACTGGGTGGGTAGCTGGCAGTGCAGCTGGTTCGATGATGGGATATCTTCACTGTGGAGAAGATAAGTTCAGGAAGGCCAAAGAAGCTGGCCAAAGCCCACAGCACAGCGCACACAAGGAGCCATTGCCTTCTCAGTCGTGTGCTTGTCCCAGTTCTGCCCATAGGGTTTTGGGCTACTGCCCGACAGCGATCCAAACTTATGCACGCTAGCAGAAGCATACCACAGCTGAAGTTGGTGCTGTAGAGGAAGGAGGTTAGCTTGCAAGCCACCTGGCCCAGCTTCCAGCCGTGGACAGCATCCGCAGCCCAGAACGGCAGGGTGAAGAGTAGCAGCAGGTCCGATATGGCCAGGTTGAGGATGCACATATCAGTCAAGGTTCGCATTCTCAACCGGGACGTGTAGACTACCACTACCAGGGCATTCCCCGCTAGGCCGACCACCAAAGCCAGGGCGTAGATAATGGGAAGGAAGACGCTGCCGAAAAAACGCACTGATTCTTTCTCACACACGCTGTGTTCGTAGTCGTAATCATATGAATCGTTGAAATTCCCGTCCAAATCCTCACTGTAGAAGTCCTCCATATTTCCTGCACAGTAAAAGAGAAGATGGGTTTGAAATTGCATTTATTTGAAGATCAGAACATTTTACTCTGCCTTTAAATACAAAAGTCCAAAAAACAGAAATGATTTTTGGAGAGCAGAATGAACATTTGCTCTCCAACATCTTAGTTTTACATTCCACTGCTTGTATCAGGACTCAGCTGAGATATGGGACACATGCAAATCCTCCTCATGAAGTAATTTGCAGTGTTAACTAGATTCAGGATAAAGCCTATCGAGATTTCCTAAATATAAAAACCCAGGATATTCAGATATTTACCCCAGACCTTATTGTGAATTCTCAACTATCCCACTTTTTTAAAAAGGCAACAGATGAACAACACTTTTCTGATTTCTACCTGCAACAACAAAAAACATTGGAAAACCTTCTCACTTTGTTGGCCTTTTAAATTAGAAACCCAGTTTTCTCCACGGAGAAGTCAGTGGTTTGAATGTAACAAAATGTGAAAATATAATAATAGGAAAGGAAAACTTTTGTGAGTCACTGGAAGCGGATAAACGTGAAATGGGAGTTGTGTTCAAAGGAAACTTCCCGGCTTAAGATCAGACTTGAAAAGCATCTAATTAGCCTTTGAATTTCCTTCGTTTACATGCAGAGAGGGATGCTATTTGATCTGCAAACTTCAGGAAGTGGCAGCTTCTGATTTAGTGAGGCTTTAATTGAAATAAGAACTCACAATAGATCAGTCATTTTCTTTACAAGCTCTGCAGTGCAAGCTGCTGTGCAAGCAGGTAATGTCTAGTTAACGTTATTTATGGCGGCATATTTATAGCTCTGTTTACCAAGCAGTTTAACTTGTTTTTTTTGTTTTTTCTGTATATGTCATTATATAATACATGCAGGAGTTGAAACAAGAACAACAGCAAATTTGTGAAGCAATGAATGAAAATGAAACATACTCTTCTTTTTTTTTTTTTTTCTTTTTTTCTCTCTCCACTCTTTAAATTCAGGATGTTGGTTCTGCTGGATGTGTGTGAGCTGCTCCAGCCGGAACATCCCCCTAATCTGAGTCATATTTGTTGTGATGTCACTGTCCGCTCTCTAGTTTACTGCATGGAAAGGCCAGTACTGTGTATACATGAGCAAAGCTGTGCGAGGAAGAGTCTTTCTGCCTCAAACATAAAAGTCTTTAAATCCTTTAAGGCCTTTGTCGTTTTTTTTAATGCACTGATTTTCTGAGAGCATGATCTTTTGTTTGTGTCTTTAAATTGAATTTATGCTGTTCTTTTTGAAGGTGTCTTGCAATTTAGATCCTTTTGGTTGAAAACTATGAACCATAGAGGACCAGAAATACCAAATGGATTGATTGTTATTGGAAAAAAAACAGAACAAACGCATGTTCTATTTAACAACAAAAAAAGAAAATAATTTTTTTTAGTTAGGAAGAGTAATGGGTGGGATTGTGTTCAACTAATTTGATTTAGTCAAATTGGAGTTAGGAACCTGTACAACCCAAAGGCAAAGCACGTTACGAGGCTAATGACATAATCCCTGCGGGATAATTTGTTGAGGTAACAGGAATGGTTTTTCATTACAAAATATGCAAGGTTATGTTACATAATGAATTAAAATATTAGGTGTGGTACGAGTGGCAGCAACGGCAACAGATGTTCAGTGGAATCATGAAAAAAATGCCAGGTATTCACCACTGTCAACAGATGCTTGTCACTTGTAACAAGCTGGAACATGCTTTATTTTTTCGTAGTGCCTGTTTTAGTCTTTATAATCAAAATAAAGAACAATTATGAAATATTCAAAAGGTGTTTTTAAAACGGAATTGGTTTGTTATTAAGTTTCCCATATATTTCTTTCAAATACTACTTAGATGCATACAAGTAGGCTTTTAAGAGGAATAAATAACCTTGTTGCTGCTTACTAGTGCAATAAGAGTCATTCTTATGCATTAACTTTCATCCTAAAATTTAGATTAGATTTTTGATTCTATTTGTTTGCATTTGCATCTACCATTTATGCTGAAACATGAAACGGAGATACACTATATTGCCAAAAGTATTTGCTCACCTGCCTTGACTCACATATGAGCTTAAGTGACATCCCGTTCCTAATCCATAGGGTTCAATATGACGTCGGTCCACCCTTTGCAGCTAGAACAGCTTCAACTCTTCTGGGAAGGCTGTCCACAAGGTTTAGGAGTGTGTTTATGGGAATTTTTGACCATTCTTCCAGAAGCGCATTTGTGAGGTCGCACACTGATGTTGGACGAGAAGGCCTGGCTCTCAGTCTCCGCTCTAATTCATCCCAAAGGTGTTCTATCGGGTTGAGGTCAGGACTCTGTGCAGGCCAGTCAAGTTCATCCACACCAGACTCTGTCATCCATGTCTTTATGGACCTTGCTTTGTGCACTGGTGCACAGTCATGTTGGAAGAGGAAGGGGCCAGCTCCAAACTGTTCCCACAAAGTTGGGAGCATGGAATTGTCCAAAATGTCTTGGTATGCTGAAGCATTCAGAGTTCCTTTCACTGGAACTAAGGGGCCAAGCCCAGCTCCTGAAAAACAACCTCACACCATAATCCCCCCTCCACCAAACTTTACACTTGGCACAATGCAGTCAGACAAGTACCGTTCTCCTGGCAACCGCCAAACCCAGACCCGTCCATCAGATTGCCAGATGGAGAAGCGCGATTCGTCACTCCAGAGAACGCGTCTCCACTGCTCTAGAGTCCAGTGGCGGCGTGCTTTACACCACCGCATCCGACGCTTTGCATTGCACTTGGTGATGTATGGCTTGGATGCAGCTGCTCGACCATGGAAACCCATTCCATGAAGCTCTCTGCGCACTGTTCTTGAGCTAATCTGAAGGCCACATGAAGTTTGGAGGTCTGTAGTGATTGACTCTGCAGAAAGTTGGCGACCTCTTCGCACTATGCGCGTCAGCATCCGCTGACCCCGCTCCGTCAGTTTACGTGGCCTACCACTTCGTGGCTGAGTTGCTGTCGTTCCCAAACACTTCCATTTTCTTATAATACAGCTGACAGTTGACCGTGGAATATTTAGGAGCGAGGAAATTTCACGACTGGATTTGTTGCACAGGTGGCATCCTATCACAGTTCCACGCTGGAATTCACTGAGCTCCTGAGAGCGACCCATTCTTTCACAAATGTTTGTAAAAACAGTCTGCATGCCTAGGTGCTTGAATTTATACACCTGTGGCCATGGAAGTGATTGGAACACCTGATTCCAATAATTTGGATGGGTGAGCAAATACTTTTGGCAATATAGTGTATCTCCTCTCATCCTTGGATAAACAGTGTTTTCTGACTGATTATAATCAAGCTTCTCTGTATTGGGAAGCAGTTGTTGCTTGTGTAAAGGCTTTAGAAATAAAATCATAGTCATATAAGTCACCGCATGCAATCTATGGTTATTGATGTTCAAATAAAATACACATTTTTGTGTTTTCATTTGGCTCTGAAATTTTTTTTTTTACAAATGGGAAAACACTGAGCCTCCTTTTCAAGGTCTATTTGTGAAGTAATAATAACCAAGCAAACATATTGTGACTTCACTCTAGCTTAATAACGTCATAAAACCTCGAAAGTAGGACTTTGACTTTAAGTCTAACCTATAAGGAAAACGCTTCCCTATTTGAATAAAAACAAGGTGCACTTCTCTGCTAAACCGTATGTGAGGAACTTAGAGGATATTTTTAAATTCCTAACATACAGTCTAAACTAGCAGAATCCAGGGTTGACATTATAACTGTGCCAGCTCAAAGTGTTTGGTAACAGAAAATATAAAGCCTTACCTGCAAACTTCAAATGTTTTTCCAGATATTGCCAAAGGTTAGGATAATCCTGTGTAAAGTGCACAAAAACTGTAGTTGTGGGTTCCTAAGGAGGCACGTTTTTGTTTTTCTCCTGGACTGAAATGACTAATCTGTGCCTCTCAAACAGTCCTCCTCCCTTCACTGCCGGCATGGGAAGTGTGTCCCTTCTCCACGTAGCTCTGAACACATTATGCATGTGTGTGGGTGTGTGTGTGTGTGTGTCACTTCCAGAATGCTTGGTTTACATGACTAAGTATTCCTCTATTTTTTGTTTATTGGTCTGTGTAAATCCTATAAATCCTATTGCAGAGATAATGATGTTTTTTTTTTTCTGTATTTGTTTAGTCTGTTAAATGATATGAAAGAAATGGCTTCTTTAATTTCTGTCACATGTTTTTTCCACAGGGCAAAGGCTGCCCATTGTGGCTTTTCTGTGTTTGTAAAGATTTGAGGTCACATGTGATGAATCCTTTCCTGTTCTAAAAAACTGTTTATATCAGTGACTGAAGTAATTGTATTGCACATCAATATTTACTCAATGTGTGTGTTATCTCTGAGAAGATTAGGCCCACGGTGGGGTGGGCAGGTTCTGTTACATAGTTTTCTTTATTCATTTCATGAATCATGATTCATTTTTTATTCAGGAAGCACCTAACGGTCATTAAGTCGATAGGAGATTCTATGACAATATTACTGAAGCTTAGTAAAACACTGCAATATACCAGGAGTTTCAAGGAAGGTTTTTTTAGTGGAATTCTGACTTGAAAGTTGGATAGGAGGTATTCAAATAATAATAATATGGCTATATAATGGAGAAATTCACCTCTGCATTTAACCCATCCCCTTGGGGATCAGTGGGCTGCCACTGTGTGATGCCTGGGGAGCAGTCAGGGGTTAATGATCTTGCTCAGGGACCCAGAGTGCAGGCTGTGGGCATCAAACCGGGTACTGGCAAACTTTTCAGAGCACAAGCGCACTGCTCTAGCCACTAAAGGAGGAGATGCCTTTGGATCTATCAGCTTCTAACATCAGGACCACCAGGATGGATAAGGGTGCCTTGTGTTGACCCAGTATCATTTTCAAGCATGTTGAATCCAAGTCATCAAAGGACAGCTTAGAATCAATGCTTTGTTGTTCTATCATAACCCTGTTAGAAGGTATTCACACTGTTTCTGAATATATTTGGACAGTGAATTGGACCCGGTATACAAGGTATGCTTTTATGTGGGTGAGATAGGGCTGCAACTGATGATTATTTAGCTAAACAATTAATCTGTCGATTGTTTTTTCCATTAAAGTTCCTCGAAGAAGATTTTTAACAGAATGAAAACCAGGTGAAACAAAAACTTTTCCACTTGAGGAGTTTTTGGTAGAGCATATTGACATATGAAAACGTTTTTCTAAGTGGGTTTCTCTGTCTCTATGCTCCAGTTAATGATTAATCGATCGATCAGTAATCGATTAATTTGAATAAATAGTTTCAGCCCTACGCTGAGATGCTTGAATTCACAGAGAGGATGGGGATGAAAATGATGATCAAGAGGAGACTGGATTAGTTATAATCCATATTGCCACAGCAATAACAAAAATATCACTATTAAATAGTTTCCTGATATCCGTTTGGGAAATGTTCTTATTAGTGTTGCACATGACCATGTCAGCAAAACATTAAAAACATTGAATTATAAAATTAGAATATCATGAAAAAGTAGATTGATTTCAGTAATTCCATTTAAAAAGTGAAACTTGTATATTATATTCATACATTACATACAAACTCATATATTTCAGATGTTTATTTTGTTTAATTTTGATGATTACAAATGACAACAAATGAAAATCTCAAATTCATCATATCAGAAAATTAGAATATTGTGAAAAGGTTCAAAATTGATGGCCCCTGGTGCCACACTCTAATCAGCTAATTAACTCAAACCACCTGCAAAAGCCTTTAAATGGTCTTTCAGTCTAGTTCTATAGGCTACACAATCATGGGGAAGACTGCTGACTTGACAGTTGTCCAAAAGACGACCATCGACACCTTGCACAAGGAGGGCAAGACACAAAAGGTCATCGCTAAAGAGGCTGGCTGTTCACAGAGCTCAGTGTCCAAGCACATTAATAGAGAGGCGAAGGGAAGGAAAAGATGTGGTCGAAAAAAGTGTACAAGCAAGAGAGATAACCGCACCCTGGAGAGGATTGTGAAACAAAACCCATTCAAAAATGTGGGGGAGATTCACAAAGAGTGGACTGCAGCTGGAGTGAGTGCTTCAAGAACCACCACACACAGACGTATGAAAGACATGGGTTTCTGCTGTCGCATTCCTTGTGTCAAGCCACTCTTGAACCACAGACAGCGTCAGAAGCGTCTTGCCTGGGCTAAAGAGAAACAGGACTGGACTGCTGGTGAGTGGTCCAAAGTCATGTTCTCTGATGAAAGTAAATTTTGCATTTCCTTTGGAAATCAAGGTCCCAGAGTCTGGAGGAAAAGAAGAGAGGCACTTCATCCACGTTGCTTGAAGTCCAGTGTAAAGTTTCCACAGTCAGTGATGGTTTGGGGTGCCATGTCATCTGCGGGTGTTGGTCCATTGTGTTTTCTGAGGTCCAGGGTCAACGCAGCCACATACCAGGAAGTTTTAGAGCACTTCATGCTTCCTGCAGCTGACCAACTTTTTGGAGATGCAGATTTCATTTTCCAACAGGACTTGGCACCTGCACACAGTGCCAAAGCTACCAGTACCTGGTTGAAGGACCATGGTATCCCTGTTCTTAATTGGCCAGCAAACTCTCCTGACCTTAACCCCATAGAAAATCTATGGGGTATTGTGAAGAAGAAGATGCAATACACCAGACCCAACAATTCAGAAGAGCTAAAAGCCACTATTAGAGCAACCTGGGCTATCATAACACCTGAGCAGTGCCACAGACTGATCGACTCCATGCCACGCCGCATTGCTGCAGTAATACAGGCCAAAGGAGGCCCAACTAAATACTGAGTGCTGTACATGCTCATACTTTTCATGTTCATACTTTTCAGTTGGCCAACATTTCTATAAATCCTTTGTTTTTATTGGTCTTCAGTAATATTCTAATTTTCTGATATGATGAATTTGAGATTTTCATTTGTTGTCATTTGTAATCATCAAAATTAAACAAAATAAACATCTGAAATATATGAGTTTGTATGTAATGTATGAATATAATATACAAGTTTCACTTTTTAAATGGAATTACTGAAATCAATCTACTTTTACATGATATTCTAATTTTATGACCAGCACCTGTAAGTTGAATAATTGAATGTGAAGTGTACAAGTGTTTCTCAACTAGACTCTGCCAGCAGAGCCGCTTCCTTCTGAAGGTTTATATATAGAAAAAATAAGCAACATGGAATGTTTTGGTGTCGCTCCTAGACTCTGGAATGTCCTTTTTCATTCCACTGTGGATGGGGACACGTTAGGGCATGATCACTTTAGATCGTCGTCCATGTGACTTAAGTAAGGGTTTAAGGGAAAATTGAACCTGCATTGGAGCCAAACAGGCTTTCATAGAAGTGGTTTATGGGGTGGAGCAGTTTGTATATTTTGTGTTTGTGGTAACAAGGCTGGTATGATCAGTTAATTTTTGTTTGACTTCTTTACAGTCTGTTTGGCGACTATCTGTCAGAAGGAATTGGTTAAAAGAGTTCGCAGGCTTTCCTGCTGTGATTATCATGCTGGGTTTTTCATTAAACGCTCATGTCTCAATGTCTTTTCCTGTCTGGCGACCATATGTCTTGTCCTTAGGGGACAGTTTTTCCAGCTGGACAAAAATTTCAGCAGGAAGTCAGAACCATCAGTCCACACCATGTGTACATTAGGGTTCATGGGCGTGACCTGAGGTGGACTTCTACCCAAGGAAATTCCTAAGTAATCTGTTTTGGGACGGAGTGGGGGGGCCTTGATCAGCAGTTTTGTATAATGCCTCCAAAACTTAAAAATTAAGCCGCAGAATCAGCAAAAAGCAACTTTAATTCTTTTTTTTTTTTTTTGTTAATGTGTCTAAGAGTCTGGAAACCGAAAAACCACAACAATAACACAAAAAGATTAGAAAAGAGAGAAATTCTGCCACATGTCGGGAACTATAATAACATTGGGATCAAATGGTAAACTAAAGAAATACTATATTTCTTGCATTTTTGTCAAACCTCCAACTTTGATGAACTTCCTGTTGATCTGTGATAGGCCTACAAAAAAGCTGTCATGAGTTAAAGGCGTATTTCAGTTCAGTTTAATTTATTTATATAGTGTTGATTAACAGCATGTCACTTCTTAGCACCTTACAGAATATATTCATTCAAATCATACAGTTTGATTAAAACATTTTATTTAAAGCTGATTGCTTTAAATCCAGTATTCGCTCCTCCTGGATGAAGGTGTTGGGATGGTGGACAGACGTTAGCATGATGTTGTTGACTTCCCAGAAATCCGGCATACAGAGAATGCACGTAGAGACAGTGGGAAAGAAAACTCCTCTTTAACAGAATAACCTGGCTCAGTGTTAATGGCCTTCTGCCACATCTGAGTTCAAGTCTCTTGATATGCGTTTCTACCAGATTTGCTCATCTAAAGGTTGTCATTTGCAAAACTAGAACAAGCTCATCCAGATGATATAGACATTCTGTAGCTTTCCACCCAACACAGCATTCTGTTTTTGTAGTAACCAACCATACAGTAGCACCTTCTTCTATACGTTTGCTGTGTCCCATGTTGGGCTGCAACTAACGATTATTTTGTAAATCGATTAATCTGTTATTTTTTATGAGTAATCAATTGATAACCTGATAGCCAAAAGGTTCCTTAAAGACTTTGTAATGACATCAAACCAGGAGAAACTAAAACTTTTCCACTTGAGGAGTTCTGGATAGAGCATATTTAAAGACAAAAAAGTTTTTTATCTTAAATGCAAAAATGTATATATTTTTTTTATTGTTGCTCAAGGCGGGTTGCTCTGCCAGCTAAGGGAATGTTTTAGAGACTCTATAGTCAGGATAGTGATTAATAGATTACTAAATAAGTTGATCATCATTTCAATAATTAATTATGATTAATCTAATTAATTGTTTCAGCCCTAGTCTTACGCATAGCTTATGGCAACTATAAATGGTGCTTCTACTTATTTTCATCCTCCCATAAAAGTCAGATTAGTAGAATGTAGGGCTTCAACTAATGATTATTATGCTAATAGATTTGGCTGGAGATTTTTTTTTTTAATTATGCAGTTATCAGAGGGAAAAACTTTTTTTTTTTTACAGAATGAAACTAGGTGAAACAAAAAAAAGTTTTCACTTAGATACAACATATTGATGGACGAAAATATATTTTTAAAATCTGAAAATTTTTTTTTTTCTATTTATATATTTTTTAAATTTTGGTAAAATTTCTGCTCTAAGTGGGTTGCTCTGTCAGTTAAAGGCATGTTTTAGTGTCTCTATACTCCAGCTAAGGATTAATCGATTATTAAATTATTGACGATTATTTAACTAATCGATTAACTTCGATTAATCTGATACATTTTTTCAGCCCTAGTGGAATGTAAAACTGAGTGTCCTGTGACAGATTCTCCAACCTGAGCTATGAATCGACACTAACGATCCCAATGAATTGCTTTATAGTTTTTGGCTGTAATATAAAAAAAAAACTGTTAAAATAATAGGTCAAGCTGTAACACATAGTATATTGCCCTCTAGTGGCAGTACTAAGTTGAAGTTTTAGTTTTTTTATTTTATTTTTTTTTTATTATTATTTTGCATAAGGAAAAGAAGCAGTTTTGCTTCATATCAAACAAACGTGGTCTGTTTCCAATAACCAGCTAAAAGCCTGAAAGAATCCAACTGCGGAAATGTAAATCAACCTGTGGCTTTTCCCGCTGTCGGCCCGTTAATCTCTCTCGAGCGCCAATTCAACATCAGCACTTCCCAGGGAATAACAGGCTCTGTTTCCTGGTATATTCAGGTCATGCAGCGGTTGACAGAACCGGGGGGGTGGAATCTTAATTAGATTCACCACTGTGTTGCAGCTGAACATAAATACAGGATTTGTGCTTTTGGTTCTCAGGTGCAGGCAGTGCCAAATGTAAAGTTGCCATTGTGATGTGCAGAAGCAGCTCTGATGTTCATCCAAACAGGTCAGTGGTGATGTGACCCCTTCCTTCATGATCAGTTTGCTTATATGGCAGATTTTAATTTGTAACAGTACAAATAAATCTGATAAATTCAGCGTCCTTATGTCAGGGACTAACTCAAGGCAAGCAGGTCCAGTTGAGTTATAAGAAATGATACAAATTCCATTCAATCCTACCTAATCACATTCATATAGTCCAACCCACGTCTAAATAAAAAGCAAACCTCTCTATCCAAGAAAGTCAACGAATTGAGCAGCAGAGCCTGTCTCAGGATGTTGGGCTCCTAGCTACAATCTGGGGTGAGAAAAAAAAAAAGAGAGGAAAAACACAGAAATTATGAATAAAGAATACTTTCAATGCAATAAATGAAGAGCTCCATTCAGGGAAGAGACACAGCTAAAAATGGCGTACTTTCAAAGAATGGGTTAAGTAGCACCAGCAGTGCCTTTTTCATTGAAAATTATCTAGAAATAAGTACCAATTTCTTAAATTAAGTGTATTTAATCTTAATTTGACCAGGTAAATAAGATGATTTGGTAATGGAATTAGTATTTTTTTTCTCCTAAAATAAGATAATCAGATAGTATACACTTGAAATAAGACAATGCAATTGTTTTTTTTTTTTTATTTTAAATGTAACTTGTCTTGTACCATTGGCAAAGTGTCTCATTTACCTCCTCAATTCAAGATAAAATGCACTTATTAAAACTAAAAAGGACATTTAAATTTCAATGTTTTGCAGTGGCAGAAGCACAGAATTAAAAGGGACAAAAAGTAAAATAAACATGGCCTCCTGTACCACATTTTTCAATATATTGTGAAATAATACTAGCTTGTTTGTATATCATTTCCCCATAGAGACCAAAACATCCTCCAATGTTGTTATAGCTGAAATAAACTTTGCCTGGTGACCTTTTACTCCTTTTTAAACAGTCACATTTTAACAACAAACTCCTGTGTTTACCTGCATGCTTCTATGTCATAGAAACATGCAGGTAAAACAGCCCTCATGGATTTAATCTCTCCTGTCTCTACAAGTATTAATGGAACCAAAATCCATTAAGTCACACCCAAGACATTAAATATACTTCCAAGTTTCTGACACACACCCTCCGTTTTCTGGCTGAGAACGGATTCACTTAGTCACCAGCAGTAATGGCTGCAACACTGACTATATTCTGATTGATCAACTCATTTATTTTGGGCAAATATTATTACTTTACTTTTGTTTCTTAGGCATGTTCAGCACAGCATGATTCTTGTACCCATGGACACACCCGGTGTAAAGCTCATCCGGCCGCTCACAGTGTTCGGATCTGATGGTAGGTCCTTTCCTACTAAATCTGCTTCCTGTGTTCCTCCCCTATTGGCAACCTAAATCTGGCTGTTTATTGATGCTCTTTTGTTTCTTTCCAGATGCCATCCATGGTGGCCACTTTGAGGTGCACTTTCAAAATGTGCGTGTTCCGGTGTCCAACATGATCCTGGGTAAGAAGCTTCATTTCTCTGTCCCTTTTAATAATAAACAGGAGGGACACTGTCTCAGGTCTGAGAAACTGATTTGCTTTATTTCCACTATAAAAACTGAAAAAGTGAGATCATTATAGTAGCTTCCTTCCCCTGTGAACGTTATCTTATTCCTCATATGTTTCCCTCCAGGTGAGGGTAGAGGGTTTGAGATCGCTCAGAGGCGTCTGGGACCAGGCAGGCTGCACCACTGTATGCGAGCCGTTGGCTTGGCCGAGCAGGCACTGGAACTGCTGTGTCAGCGCGCTGCTTCCCGGAGAGCCTTTGGGAAAAACCTTTACCAGCATGTGAGGGAATCAGAGCCTTTACTTCTACTGTCCGCTCAAAGAAACAGATTAAATGATCCAGTTTTTCTGATGTTTTAAGGAGGTTATCGCCCACTGGATTGCAGAGTGTCGTCTGATGATTGAGCAGACCCGCTTGCTAACCCTCTCTGCTGCTCATGCCTTGGATACTACAGGCAGCAGAGCTGCTCGCAAACAGGTAACGCTGCTACCCCAGAAAAAGCTAGAAAAGGATTGTGTAGATGTTGGATGGCACAGCCATATATTAGTGGTTATGTTCAGGCTTTGTTTCCTATATTTTCAACTGGTTTTTCTAATTTAGAATTCAATTCAGTTTATTTATATAGCGCCAATTCACAACACAAATCATCTCAAGGCACTTTACAGTTAAACCAGATCATACAGTCAAATTGATTCAAAAAGAAGAGTCGGTATGTAAAATCAGATTAGTTGTGTAGTGTCATTTTCTCTGTCTCTGTTCTAGATCGCAATGATCAAGGTGGCAGCAGCCAGGATGGTCTGTAAGGTGGTGGACTGTGCCATCCAGGTTCATGGAGGCGCAGGAGTGTCAGGAGACGTCCCTCTTGCCCAGATGTAAGTTTTATTTATTTTTTACAGGAGTCTTTATAATTCAGGTGAATTCAAGATTAAAATATCAATGAAATGTTTTAGAGTATCTGTATTAATAATGTAACATTTTGTCATTCTGTGTTGGATTAAAACCTATAGCTGAAGCAGACCCAATTTTTTTTTCTTTCAGGAAAACAAGTTTATATAACGCAAATACAAAAATGTTAATTTTCGCCATGTTTCATCCAAAATGATCATGGGGAAGCCTGTTCACTGTAGTCATGCAGGAGACCTTGGCTTGCTGCCCAAGGTCACTGCAAAAGAAGTCAGCTAAGAGCTACATCAGTGTTTCCCAATCAGGGAAACAACTCGTGCCGTTAGTGGTCTGCGAGTGCATTGCAAGGGGTTCATGAGAATATTTAATTTCTTGGACAATAAAATAGGGCTAGGATCTGTTTTGTTTTCTAAGGACCCTACTTATAAATTAATCAAGCCTTTATCAACCAAAAAGGTTTTCTTATCTGTTTGAGTTCACCTTCAGCTATGAGATGCATCATAACCGAGCAGGGGAACAGACTGGATGTAGAGAACAGCCTGGTATCCACTGTTTTTCACACTGAGCTATCGGAGCTCATCAAAGCAGCTCAGGTGTCTGGATGAAGTAAAACTAATTAAGTCAGTCTCACTATAATTTTTTTATTCTGTATTTTGTTCCCAATTAAGTTTAAATGTGATTATAAGAGAGTTAGTCAGAGGAGCTCCAGTGTTATAAATAAATAAATACAGGTTTATAATATTTTAATTTGTATTTATTTCCAATTCCTTACTAGCTTCTAGGCTATATTTGTTTTTTGTTTTTTTGATAGAAGGCATAAAATGCCTAAGAATTAAATGCTCAAGCTATAAGATTGAGGAAAATAGTTATTTCATAACCAGTTATTGTACATTCCACTTTTGGACAACCATCAATACTTTTGACTGAGAAGGACTCAGAGTAAGACTAAATGTCCAAGTCAAAAAAGGTTAGGAAACACTGATCTACATGATCCAGACAAGGAAAATTAGGTGAAATGACAGGGTGTGTTAATTTGTTTTAAAAAGTCACACACACCTGGGATATCTGCCAGGTGAGAATCCTATTTGGGCCAAGCAGCTGTAAGGAATGAAATAAAGTAACTTTTGGTCCATATTTTAATTCTCATTCTAGCCTTTCGTTTGTTTCTTAGGTACTCCTATGCACGGACTCTGCGAATCGCAGACGGACCGGATGAGGTGCACCTTTCCACCATTGCAGCATTAGAGCTGAAGGATCAGTTTAAGCAGGCAAAGGCCAGACTGTAAAAGCTTTAATCTCTGAATTAAATGTCTATTAACTAAATCTTATTATTCCTAAATATACAGGATCAAGTACATTATCCAAAATGCTAATAGAAAAAAGTTTCTATTATTTTGAATCAATATTTTAAATGTTAATGTAATAAGTGGTTGTCTAATTGAGGTGGCATTGTAGAGAAAAACAAAATGAGCTTTCTGGGTGATTTTTTTTTCCTTTAAAGGTATTGTGGAGGAGGTTTTTTTTTCTTCTGGATAATAAAAATAAGTGGTCCTCCTAATTGTCAATCATTCTGGTGATATGTGTACATAAGACTGTCCTACATGCTCATTGTCATTTTAACTTACCGGTGGTGAGTCTGATATAGTGGAAAATTGCAAATCTTCTTTTGGAAAGTAAGCTTGTATGAAACAAACAGCAACTTTTAAACAAAGCATGCATAAGTAGAAATGGGCTTGTGCGTGCTCTTGCACAAGTATAATGGGCGCTCCCTCTTAGGAGCGGGAACAGGGCTGTTCTTTTTTTTTTTTCCTCAGGAGAGGGTGGGTTTTTTCAAAAATTCGTGATAATCGTCCACTATACCTTTAAGATAAGTGGAATCTATTGAGGTGTTTAATTACTGAATTGCTAGGAATATAGATGGATGAATAAAGTGATGATCAGAGCTTAGAGGCAACCAGGATATCCGTACTCTCCCAATGAAAATGTGAAAGCAAAATAAATAGTACAAAAATAAAAATTGTCTTCATAAGTCATTGCATTAGATATTTTAAAAAGACACTTGTTTATTAGGAATTCTTTTTAATGTGAACTACAAAAACAGAAGCTGACAGCATGAACGTAAGACTTTTTCCTCACACACTACACAGGTGTGTTCTACCACATGGATGATTTCCATTGGAAGGCGAAGAAATTAGGACACACAAATACCTTTTTTATCTTTACAATATAAAACAGCAGTGGGCCCAATCTGTCACCCATGCAATGCCCTCACGCCTTGTTGTCCTTCAGGCATCTCCGATCTTCCGCTGCCGAATCAGTTCACCTTCAGATCATGCGGCGCAGAGATGTTAAGAATGAGAGGGGCTGGTTTACAACAAAAACCGAAGACGTCAGTGTTTGCTCTTCTTGGATTTCTTGTGAGATCGGTGCGGAGATCTAGATTTTGAGCGGGACTTCTTGGTGGATTTCTTGGGTGTTCTGGAACGTGACCGCCTCGATCGTTTCGGTGTGCGAGGAGACGACGGCGATCTGGTGGATGAAGTCATACGGCAGATTTAGATTTCCTAAAGCAGCTCAGTTCATAAGTCCACCACACAAACATTGTTCTCATCCTCTGACATTAAATTAGACAAAAGCTCCCATTTTCATATTTATATAAACAGGAGGGAGTTTTTTTCTACAAAAATTCACACGCATTTCCTCAGCATTTGGTAAAAACGCCTATTAAGCAGTATGAAATGGGTACTCTTCCAAAAGTTTCTCACTAGTTTCCTGACATACTGGCCCATTCCTCCTGTCAGATCTGAACATCTTTTCATCGTTGTCCACCTTTGTCTTTAGGACTTCAATCAAAGCTTCTTGATATCCACTATAAAATGTTCCTTTTGGTCAGTGTCTTAGGTTGCAGCTTTAATATTTCACCATAATGTTCAATCCTAATGAATACCATGTATTTCATGAATGCACCAATGTCTGACACCGAAACAGGGCTTCAATTCAGAGCAGATGTTATTGGCACCTTTGAAAAGCATTGGTTGCCTTTGTTTATGCTTATTCACAGTTTCAACCAAAATTAGTTTATTGTAATAGGTCTTATGAAGATTCAGTTGTTTTCATATCTATTGATTTCTGTTGGAGTAGTAACATTGGATCAGTTCTATTCTAAAATGCCACAATACAAAATAAGCGATAAATGTTTGTATGATTCATGCTGAGATTATCCCTGGTCAATATTAGTATCTGTGGGAAATGAGCTGTGCTTATACCAGTATACACAGCACATCTTACCTCTTGGAGGATTTTTTGTTGCTGGACCGAGGGGAGTCTTTATGTGATGAGCGGGATGACGTGTCTTTAGAATATGATCGGTCAGAGCGTTCAGATCTCTCTGAGCGCGGCGAGGAAGAGCGGCCCCGTCTGCTGCTGCTCCTTGATGGACTGGGAGACCCGCTGTGATGCCGCTTTCTGTCAGGGAGGAAATACTGCGTGTTAGACGGGCTGAATCTCTCTAAACCTGACTCTGCACACACACGCCTATATCACCTTTCTTTCCTGGTTGGTGTGTCATCCTTCTCCTTTTCCTTTTTCAGCTCTTTTATCCGTGCCTCTGCTTTCTCCTTTTCTTTTTTCTCCCTCTCTTTCTCACGCTCCAGTTTTTCTTTTTCTTTTTCCTTTTCAAAAGATAAACCCAAAGGAGTCAGGCTATTGTTCATCAGTGTTGTATCAGAACCCGTCTGCGATAATTGACCCAATTCCCCACCTTTTGTAGCAGCTTGTCCCTGTAGTGCTCCACCTGCTCCTGAATACTCTGGCCGGGCTTCTTGGGTCTTTTCCCAGACTCCAGCTCATCTTGGAACTTCATGACTTTAACCTGAGTTTTAAACACAAAAAACAGCGTTGGTAAAAGTTGTAATATGATTCGGTTTTGCTCCTTGGTGACATAAAAACACTGGATCTGGAGAGAGCCAACCTATTTCCGCACTGGAATGATGAGAAAATGCAAATACTATCTGGTTAAGTGTGGAAGGTGCAAAGTAAAATATTTCACAGCTTTTCTTAAATAATTTAATCTTTCAATCTGGTTGGCTTCTTGGCAAAGTTTGTGGTTTAAAGTTACTTCCATTAAACCTTTTTAACCTTACTCCATTTTTAACCATATTGTGTGAAGGGTCGTCTTCCTGTTCAAACACTCAATTGTCTCTGAGGTCAAATTCATGACCTGCTGTTTTTTTTGCTTGAAAGATCCTCAAACCCTCCAAAGATACTTCAACTTATTAAAGTTTCTTTGCTGATGTCCTTTTCAGACTACTCTGATATATGGTTGGATATAGGGCCTAAAATGTCCAATGTTCAACGCTAATGTAGCTGTGAATGATTAGTCAGTCTTAACAAGGCTCATTTTGCAGCTTCGCCATTAGAAGTATTTAACATGTCAAGTTACAAACCAATGCTGTAGTTTGGCTGTTTACTAGAATAGCAAACAAACTTGGAGAATAAAAATAAGCCTTTAAAAATCCTGAATAATAATCAGACTAAAAGGCTATCCCCTGGCAAGACAAAATCATCTACCAAAAACTAACAAAATAAAAGCAGATGGCACAGAACGAAAAAAAACAGGAGCCGGGCAGAAAACAATGCAAAACAAAGGCCACTTAAGTTTACAACACATACTGCTGCATACTGTGATTGGAAAACAGGCTGACTTATAGATGTTTATAACATTTGAGCCAAAATAAGCATTGCAGGAAGGCAACATTTACTTATTCTGTAAATAAGTCCAGATTGTTTGAGCTAATTTTTGCTTGAAAACCGTCAAAATAATCAAGAATAACTCCACGGTTCAGGTCTTAATGCAAACAGAATGATTTTTTTCTTAGAATTTAAGTGCTATAGCAGATATCAATTTTTTGTCTGAACCGTTTGTGATACAAGTCATAAAGTTATAACCTCCCCTGCAGAATCTCCTCAATCCCCAGGCTGAAGACCGCTGATCCATATAAGGTCATTTAAAGGCAATCATTAATAAGACAGCTATCACTATGTTTACTGTATGTTAAGTAGAACTATATGTGCAACTAGTAAAATCCTAAAAACCTCAATCTCTCTGAGCTTAGTGCGTTTCTCCTCATTCATCTCGGACATCTTGGCCTTGTTTTCGGAGTCGTCTCTAAAGGGGTTGGAGAAGCTCTGATTTTCCTCTGAGCTCCGCTCTTCATCATCACTGTTGGCTTCACCCCTATAGAAATAAAAAGAGTAAAAAATACTGCAGATTCATAGTTCACTGTGAGCAAATGCAGGGAAAAAAGGATACTCACCTCTTTGCCTCTTCCGGCTGCTCAAATATCTCCCATTTTGAGGTCGTTACAGCTGAGGAATAAACAGTCTTAGGACCAAGAGAAGATGATAAATCTATGATGAACAGTTTAACTCTTTCCAGGGTTACCTTGAGCCTGCAGCTCTGCCTCGTCCACTGCCTCCCACTTTGAGGGCGCAACCTTGAAAGTTGCACCTGCTGACTGATCCACTGTTGAACAGAACACAAGTAATTAGACAGCAAATATTTATCTGAAACAATCCATTATTAACAGCTCCTTAAAACAAGGGAATATTTGTCGCTATTGATAAAAGTTGACAAATACATTTTAATTTCAGACAATTGTGAATACAAAGTAGTGAAGAAGTACAGCTTTTTATTGAGGAGAAAAAAAACGGTTTCTATCCTGCTCCATAAACGTAACGCTTTATTTTGCAATTCATAAACTAATGACAGGTTTATCAGCTGCCGACTCCACAGCTCGCCGTTCTGCACAGAGAGCGGTCTGTGGTTCCCAGAGCTGAGCCAAACCTGACATGCTTTTGGCTCATACCAGAGTCAGAAAAACATTGCTACACTTGATGAGGGGGAACATTAGCAGGTATTAGGAAACGGGTTTAGTTGCAGATCCAATGACAAATGTATGGACATCTGCGCCGGTCCCTGGTGTACTTACGAGGTATTCCATCAATGTCATCATCGACTGACTTAATAGGAACTCCATCTAAATCATCCAGAGGGGCTCCATCAATCGGTGCCCCATCAAGAGGTATTGCGTCAATAGGAACCCCATCCACATCCTCCAGAGGAGCTCCATCCACGAACTCACCCAGAGGAGCCCCATCAAGGTCGTCTGCAGGTTCAGGCTAAAACAGAACAATGAAAAGAAACTAAAGCTAGAACCAAAGTAAGGGTTAAGGTGGAGTAAAAAAAATAAAACCCTTAGGGAAGTCACTTTGTATGTTTTACCTCAACAACTATAGGAATCTCCTTTTCTGAAGAGAGATTAACAAGACCCAGAAAGATGTTCTGCAACTTAATGAGGAATGGATCAGGGTACACGGCCCAATCCTCCCACGCCCGGAAACATGCCATTACTCGTTGCTATAACAACAAGGAAAGAAAAAGAAAAAATTTAGACCTGAGTGATATGAGACCCTAGCGAAGT